TAATTATTACTATGTCGCCTTTATATACACTGTAAATGATCCTTCAACTACTAGTGTCCACCGTAGAACTTTATCCCATACCTTAAATGTCACCGGATAATATGCACGACAGGTCTACATATTTGTCTACAACATATCTATTTCCTAGATTCTGGCATTTTTAACCGCTCCATACCCGAAGAATTAATACCTACCTTTTCTTTAAAATTTGTTTTAATACTCTGGGAAAAAGCTTACTACGTATTTGAAAAACAAGAAACTATACTTGCCGATTATTCGAAAGACAGATTAACTTATTTAAAGAAAAAATGAAGAAGAAATAAGAGATATCGAAGCCAGCACCAAAAAATGAAACCGAAACTCTGAAATCTATTAAGAACTCCACGATACTGTCATACATCATATTATTGAAAGATTTAATTTAAAAATCCAACAAGAACATTTCTATGGCTGACAGAATAAATCCCCCATTCTAATCTATACCCATCTTCAATAGAAGGCTTGATCTCGCTTTAACTACGTACATCTTATCAAGCCCTTCACATAATACCCCACATATTTTAGCACTAATTTCGATTGGGTATAAGCCCACAAGCGCAAAAATTCGGCAATTGTTGAGTATTGAAGCAACAACTAGATGTTGTAAAATTCGCGGTCGTTGCTTCAGGAACATGATCTATACCCAGATTTATGTACTTATATGGATTTATCATATGAACTCTAACCACCTGATAAGAGAAATTAATATCCAATAAAAATTTCCCACATGATCTACAACCTCGGATAAACTGCACAATGAAGAACACACCGCTGCAACAAATTTTACCCAGACTTTAACTATTCCATTCAAAATATTTTTTTGGCAATCTTAATTCGACTAAATTTAGAAAAAATCTTTTATCTTTATTTTCATATCACAATTTATTTATCATTTTTCATGCAATTAATTTTTAAATTTTGTATAATTTATTCTATTTTTATTATTTATAGTCCAATCCAAAAATTGTAAACACCCTGATTACTCTAATCATTCTACTCTGTTAATTTTAATAATCTTCTGTTTTTAAAAATCATTATTTGTACATCTATAAATTTAAAAACCCTGTGACCTCACTACTATTGTGAATAGAAAGGCGACACAGGATTAATTAATTGTATCATTTGAAAAAGGGTCATATTGACTCATATCAACCGAAACGTTATGAAGAAAAAAACACTTCTTATTGCTACTTTTAATATGTTTGTACTACTGTTGAGCGGGGATTTTTATATTTTCAGTATATGAATGGTCCTGCAAGGACAGCTGTTTAGTCCTTCGGATGAGACGAAAAACCTAGGTCCCGTGTATACATTAGAATGAACGTAAAAGATCCCTTGGCAGTTGGAATTCGATATAAGAGTAGGCGATAGTGCTGCTGCCCGGGCAAAATTTCCTTCATAGCACACTGTATGGCGTATGCCCGTCTTCATTAGCCCAGCATAGGAGCAGAACAGTAGGATGTTAAACCTCATTTCATTTCATTTCATATATGAATGGTAAGTAAAAGTGTACTTGTCAAAAACAATAGACTAACAGATCACATTGACATAACATGTATGACACAACAAAAATAAATTTGCTTGAAATAAATATACAAATAAATCTTGTTCACACTATGATGCAAATGCTACAAATGTAACTGATTCTTCAAATTTCTATTGTATTCTCCAGTAAAAATTACCATTTATGTTGCTATACTGGTCACTACTCTTTCTTTATACTTCAACTTTGCATTAGCTAATGTGATACACTTCAGAACGGATTAAACAGAAAACTCCCAAACCTACTAAATCTTACCTTCCAACAGTGTTTCATGCTTATTCCTTAAGATATTTGTTGAGATTTGCTAGTTGGTTCAGTTATTTGGAATAAATTAAATCATAAGAGAGGTTTATTTCACATGACAATTTCCACCCACGAGAAATCAGATTGAAGTGTGTGATTGGTCAAAATACTTGCAATCTGGAACCATGGTTAGTTTAAGTAACAATTTCGCACAGTATAACAGAGGTTAATTGTAGCTCAATCATACACATCATACCAATGTTTTATCTACATATTCTTTTATCTGCATATTTAGTAGCTTTTGGTAATTATTTTCCTAATTGTTACATATCTAATTGCATTAACTTCTATCTCACATATATACTTCTATTTTACATAATAATATTGTCACATATTTACTTTTATATCACGTATGGTTACATATTTCTTTCTATTTCACACACAGTGTTACATATTTACTTCTATTTCACATCCGTCGTAATTAGCCCAGTCAGAGCAGAACAGTAGGATATTAAACCAAATTTCATTTCATTTCATCTCTATTTCACATATTATTACATATACTTCACATATTGTTACATATACTTCACATATTGTTACTTCTATTTCACATATTGTTATATATTTACTTCTATTTCACATATTATCATATGTACTTCTATTTCACATATTTATGGTACTTCTATTATTTACTTCTATTTCACATACTGGTTACATGTATATATTTACTTCTATGTCCCATATTTCAAATTGAAATATCCATAACAAATGTGGTTCAATCACACAATTACAATTTATTTAACATTATTTATACATTATCAGTGCAATAACAAATATATTATTTTTCAATTTAATTTTTCAGAAAATTAAAATACTTTATATTCAAACCAAAATGTCACCAGTACTGTATATAAAAGAATTTTTCGCCTATTTTAGCAAACACTTACCTTAATGAACATAAATATTTTCTTGTTGTTTACCACTTGGTTTAATCTTATATAATATTATCATTGGTAGATAGAAGCTGTACTAGTAATAGTACATACACAAGTTTATCTCTATAGAACTTTATCACACCATGCTATTGGTGCCAACGTCTTAGACTATCAGAAAGCAATACGAGGATAAAGTTGTAACTGATAATACACTGGACACATTTTGGCACCTGCTTTACCTATACACCCTCTCACATCAATCTTACAACTTGTATCTGAGGCCATATTGGTGTTGGTAGTGCTCACTTTTGGCTGATTACATTCATTTGAATCATCATGTTCCTGTAACTATAACGCCAACAACAAAATACCACAAATACTTAACCAAATGAATCACTAAAGTATAATTGTTTAATCCATCCATCTATTTCAATGTTAATTTAAATAATGGTATCTAATTAACTCTAAGATGAATGTACAAGGCGAAACTATCAATAAAAACTATTAAAATTATTATTTTCATTGTATATTAAATATAAAACATTCTTATTAAGAAAAAACCCCAACAATAAGCGAAAATACCATGTTTTGTTTCTTTTTAAATTCAAGATGCATTATGTAAAATTTAAATAAAGAATTGTTTGTTTTTCCTATAGTTAAAAAAAAAGATTATGAAAAATGAACATATTGAAAATTCATTCAAATTACTTTATTGTGAGTGAAGTGTTCAAAGATATAGGGCAGATTGTTTATTATCATTATCATAGATATGGTACTGGGCAGTCAAGACTTAGTCTCGTTTGTCCATTTTATCATTAAATTTTTAAATCTTACAAGCATCCTAATCAATTTAAATCTTTGCCATCTGATGGTCTAGAGAGTGGATTATGGGCTTGTCATGTTAATAAATGCCAATCTGATCAAAATACAGATCTATATTTCATTTCGTTTTTTTATACTTTCGATGGCCTACACGAGTTGTACTCAAAGGTCATGTCAGGCAGGGGTCGTACGAGCGTCTTTTGACCCTATGACGTCAGACATTGATTAATCAATCAACGTTGGGGTTTCTAGTGGATTTCCCACAGTTCCGTGCATGGCACGGCAAGAAGATGCCGTAACAGACTGTTTCATTGGCCTATCCGTCACTTCAACCAAAATGTCGGTAATATAACAACTCTTCCAGATCCTAGTGTAATAAAGACAAGCAAAATGAAACTTTGAACTATAAAAATGAAATGAAATAGGATCTGTCTTAATCAGATTGAATAAATGCCTAAATAATATCACATCACATTTAAAGCCAAAATATGCAATAGGAAGATTTAGCTCTTGCATTTATAGTACATCTGTAATAAATCAGTAGATCAACCCTGTTTTTTTTTTTAAATGTGAAAGTATTAAGTACGACCACTTATTTTATTCATCTGTGGTTCAAATGATAGAATTTAGTTGACAATCACCATAAACAAAACCATTCAAATGTTATTCACTAAATGTAGATACCTAATCAGCAATTCCCATTGTTTTCATTATGACAATCTTGTGTATATGTTCCCAAGATGTATTTTAATTCTGTCCATCATTGCACTCACTAAAGTATAAACAATCAAGCTTTGAGTTGACATAAAAATTATGAAACTAGGTCCCTTTAATACAATGAATATCAAATGTAAATATTTGAATGCGTCATATCAGGTGGAATGTAAAATATCATAACTGGCATACCATTAATACAATTTAAACCATTTAAACAATTAACAATTGGTGAGATTGATAATATCTGATTTTACTCATCCTTGGACAAGGTAAGGTACATATTGACACCCCAATTTTGGACTATAGACTTGATCAACCACATAATTTAGTTAAACAAGCTACAGAGGGTCTAATCAGTTCGATTTCACCTAAAATGATCTTCATACATACATATGAAAGGATTATTTAGTAGCCATATTATCTGTTAAAGGTCAATTTTATAAATACCGGAGATCAGTTATTGTTACTGATTGAAGTAGAGAGGAGATCAGTTATTGTTACTGATTGAAGTAGAGAGGGGTAACAGGTACCCAGTCGATTGAAGCTCTATAGTAATTTCTATGAAGATGAGGAGCTGCAAAATAAAATGGGGTTTAATGTCCTACTTATCTTCACCAACCAGGCTAATCAAGACAAGCATATACCATGAATGAAGTGTGCTATGATGGAAGTTTATAATGGACAACAATGATTCCACCTACTCTTCTTTAAATTCCACCCATCAAGGGCGTACACGGGACCACAAAGAGTTGTAAAATACAGGATACCAGTTATTGTTACTGACTGACTTTAAATATATGAACTGTACATGGGCAGATCCAGGAATTATTGCAGGAGAGGGTTTTCCAGGCTCCTGTTAAGGAAATCTGACAGTTGACAAAGCATGATGTCATCATCGTCTATAAATTGCGTAGGCATACATACACATTGAGCTTTTTAAAGAGAGAAATCCAACACCCTGATTGACATCAATTTTTATATAATGATTTAATAGGATCACATTGCGATTCAATTCCATTGATGCAAAGCATTAATTGTGATATCACATATGTCTATATCATTATTTCGCACTTTGAATGCCAATCCCATCCCACCATCTGATGATAATGGATAAAGCACACAACCATTACACTTTTCTCATAAAGTGTTGTTTTACAAAATTTTTTATGTAGCTGAGCAAGGTGGGGTTTGCAGTTGGAACCCCAGTCCTCTGGATCCGCCCCTGCGGTAAAATCATCATTCAATGCAACCACTATCTGTTTCTTGTGAAATCACCGTGGAAAATTCCCACCAAAGAAGAAGCAGAGGGCTTATTTCAGGTCAAGATTATCAATGTGAGTTTAATTTCATTTCTGTAAAGAATATAAAATAACCTGATAGAGATCATATTAAACCTAGGACTGTTACCATTCTCTGATTAGCACAATTTAGATTCTAGAGCACATAATTCAACTAATTTCCTACATTAAATACTCCCTTATCAATAGAAAATTAACAGATTGTACACTTCACAATGTCTGTCATATTTTTTATTGACAAAAATGTCTTGATTGTCCACTTGAAAAAGATTGTTTTAAAACAAGTTAAAGCTTGATTTTCCTGTACTACTTTGCTTAAGGTGCTCCCATCGGTTCTAGGGATTAGAACATCCCTAGTTTAAACCCAGAGTCTGGGCTCTTAGAACATCCACTGAGAATTTTCAAGACTGGTTCCAGCTTGTCAGAGGTAAGACCTATGGGGGGCCAGATATGGAAATTGGCCAATCAGATATGAAAACAAAAAAACCATGGTCGTTCGCTGACAGTAAGAGTAGGCAGATATACTGCTGTTTTGGCAAAATTCTCTTCACTGCATATAACCAAAGTAAATCATAAAAATCATATTTAAACCTCAAAATGATGTTGGTAAGACATTAAAACAACCAATACAGAACTCATTCTGCAAGCCAGAAAGTTTATCTGAGCATCTGCCAAGGTTAATTTTAAAATTCAAACACCTACATTATGAGGATGCTAATTCACGAATGCTGTTCTACCCTCTAAACCTCATGGCATATATTTGTAGAGTTAAAACTAATACAAGATTTTTCATAGTAAAAACCGAGACTGGTCTTCATGTTCTGTCAATATTGTGGTGTGAAATGGTGAATACAAACACGTAAAACATGTATTTAAATAGTTCCATTGTTTAAACATTAAATAATTTACTCCTCATAAGAGGAGACTAGACGGAAGTTTCCAGATTTTATAAACCTATACCAGTGTACCAGCCAGTTATAGCAGATCCTTCTAACAATGGGTAACATTATCAATATCACCAGTTATTAATCCAATAAGGAAATTTATCCGGGTTAGATGATACATTGAGACTGACATGTAAATCGTCATCTATAATTCTTACAACTGAATGCTTATTTGGGCATTATTGCCAGTGAATAGGCAGTTTTGAAGTGAGGTGATGGGAGTTTGGCAATTCCGTAAAGTGCTGAAATATGAGAAACTACATCCAATTATGTATCTCATAGTCTTTGACTGGCATTTAGTAATTTATATATGTAATAAAGTTGAGAGGACCCTCAAGGAAACATTGCTTCAATTAAAATTTTGTATCTGTTCAGAACTCAGCGTTAGAAACCAACTAATATTTACTGGGTAGTTTAACATACATAAAAATGAGAGTTTCACATATGCAATAAGGATTCATTAAAAATAATGCTCACAGACACATGACTTTAAAATATATGTATCTATTTAAAACTTTGCATTTTCATATTATATATGAATAAAAGGTTATTTATATAATAATGTAAGTAAATCTATGCATTGTGTATAAACAATAAACACATTATTAAAATACTCCCTTTTAACAAATGCCCCCAATCAAAATGAATGCATTATATTTCTAGCAGACGACATATTGCTTATAGTGTGTATAAATGATAAACGCCTAACCCGAATATTTTAATATTCTTCCTGTTTGATGAGTGCCAACTTCCTGGTGAGTTTAAAGTACTCAAAGTGATTTCTATTGTTATCAAAGATAACACTAATAAGCACATCACAATGAACGTACATGATAAGCTGTATTAAGCTATATTAGATGTGGATAACTGTGTTTTAAAAAGTTTCATGTGATATTCGGATAACTATTTTCAGGGTTTGTGATTTTGATACTCAGTGTTAGAGAAGGAAGTTCTTTCGATTTATTGAGAATTTTAAATATGTCTGAAATTATATATCTCGTTAAATTTGGTATACCCATATTATAGTGTATCTTTCTAAAATAAATATTGCAGCAAGAGGTCTCACATCTGATCCCATAACTCATTGATTTAACAATCAGATTTTGCTTTGTATGTGTAAGTTTAGTTAGAGTGCAACAGTCAATTTGTTCAAGTACAAATAAGTTTATCAGATCATATCAAATGATAAGTTATTTCTCCTTTATATTACTTATGGCAGTTAAGAGAAAAAGACAGCCATGTTTTCTACTATAGCCTCATACTCATAAGCAATATGACATGTACAACATCAGATCCAGTTATTTTCAGTTCATTGAGCGGAATCAGTTGTAATTCTTTACTGCCCTCACCAGGTCTTCTAACTGGAAGATATTTAAAGGGACAATAACACTCTTGCTGGCTTGACAGCTCCAGAAAATAAAAAAATAGCCTTATTCTAAGTAATAGATGTGTTAGTGTCTTACCTGTTGTGTAAATTATCTATTAAATCCTATTTTACTTGTCCAGAGGGTTCAAAATTATTTTTAAATCCAAGTCACATTTGAAAAGCTTTACGTCAGTCTTTTCAAATCATTTAGTTGAATTTTTCCAATTTTTTAAATTAGGTGTGTTAAGATGAAATTTGTATCATCAATTAATTGGAATATTGTAAAATAGTACAATTTGTTGACCAGAATAAAGATTGGGACATATTATTCAGTTACAACAAGAGTGGTATTGAGCCTTTAATTAATACTTTTTCACTTAGTTGCTTCCATATTTAATGTTTAGACTTGGGGTAGCACCCCACCCATATCTCCTATGGATTAGCCCTTCCTGAATAAATGTAAGGATTACTTGTTCAATGTAATCTTAAACAGGCGTGAATTTTCATATCTTAACCAACCGAGAAAAGAAAGCTACCCATGACATACTTTATATGTATTGAATTGTAAATGGGGCTGTACATTTTATTACAAAAATGACCTACTGATGTATGCAGGCCATTTATTATTCACACAATTGAAGGCTATTTAAATCATTTCATCATGTACTATATATATCAGCACAAAATAGTGAAAATTATGTCCAAGTCTGTGTAGTTTATTCAGAGTACATGTTAAAACTGGGTAGGGCCTATACTATAAAACATATCTATTAAAATTCATTTGGGTAATAAAATACAATTTGACTTGTTAAAAAGGGAGCCAAGATATATTTTAATGATTCAAACAAAGTTAATTCTATGTAGAAGACTTTACATTGCTGACTCGGGAAGGTACAGCACAGGAGATGCTTATGGCTGGCCCCTAGATCCATTCACTTGATCTGATATTAATTGTTCTTGCCAAGTCATGTCTTGTCCACAGGTTTGTCTTATCAGTTCTGTTTGCATTTAATAATAATAATAATATATGCATTTGTATCGCGCTGACATTCACTACTGATAGTGTGCTCCTTTAAGTGGTCTATATGAGGTTGGTGATATATCTGCATATCACGCCATCCCTCATTCAACTGAACAATGAAACTTTCAAAAATATAGCGACCACTTCTCAATGTCTCAATATTTTGAGCTGACACACTTATTTCTTCATGTTTAGGTGTTTAATTTGTACACCTTATGTATTTTTAAAATCTGGGGCTGCTCCATCAAAGCATATAATTGTCAGTTTATAAAGATATCTAGGCATGAATTGACAAAGAAATTAATGAGGAAAATATAATATTGTAAACTGTAATCTTGGGAGGAGTCCCTTTGGATAACATTCAAGTAGTGAAGACATGAACCATTGTACTGGACGATGAAAGTTCAATGCATTTAAAATATGTGAAGCCATACAAATGGTTTTATAATTTAAAGGCATAAACCAGGTCCTCGTGGGACTAACATTGCTTGCACATACATGTAGGGGTCTTTAGAAGTGCGAGAAAACTGGATGTCATGTAAAAAACAAATGATTTTGACAAGGCGATCATACTCCTTGTCAGTAGGACGTTAAACTCCATTTCATTTCATTTCATTTCATACTCCTTGTATGCCCCAAAGACTCAATCATAAAGCCTAGTAATCAGAAATGAGAACGGGTGACATTCTAAATGTCAAAACATCAATGCATAAATTAAGCAGGGCAGCTTGTACAACAAAGCTACCAGCGAAACATTTAATATTTAAACAGAACTTAATCTAATTTCATTCTTTGATTGGACGCCAATCTGAAATGAATGCCTGTGACCACTGCCCCTCTATGAATGCCATAGTGTACAAGCCATCGAAACCCACACCACTTGACCAGTGACAGACCTTCTGACTTAAAGTGCATGCATTAGACCATTCAATAATATAAAAATATGCGAAAGCATATGAAATGTTTTATATACTCTTTTCAGACTGTGACAGAGAATTGCTCAAAATGACCAGCAATAATGCTCGACCACCAGTACAGAAAAAACTAGTCATAGTAGGTGATGGAGCATGTGGTAAAACATGTCTATTAATAGTCTTCAGTAAAAATGAATTTCCAGAGGAACATATACCAACAGTTTTTGAAAATTATGTGGCCGATATCTTTGTGGATAATCAACATGTGAGTTTTTATCACTGAAATATATCAATCACATTTCAAATTACATAATTCACATGGCTAGTTATCATTCTTCTGGGGGATATAAACGTAGTAAGCCCATTCCAGCTCCCAATGTAATAGACTTAAGGCCACATAATTGAAGTCAAATAAGATGACATTAAGACGGCTATATATAGGTTAGTTTTTAGGCCAGAAGACCGTTGTCTACAAGCAACATTAGCTTAATTTACTGAAAGCCACAAACGGAGATGATAGTTTAATTAAGCATGCATATATCGATATATCGGATCCTAAGCTACCGGTACTTGAAACCAGCAACATTTAGATGACCTATTCAGACAGCCAAAATAAGCTGAATTAGAAAATAAAAACCTTGTTGGAGGTTTTTTTGTGTGAGAAAACCCACAAGGATAGGACAGGCAGACGACGCTACCCCTTATCATGTATAAGATTAGTTTCAAAACCATATGATTTGACTCAATGACAGACTTGATCTAGAACGCATGTGCTAGATCACTTGACCACATAACAGAGCACAGAGCACTGTTACCAAAGTAGTCAGATCTTTATCTAACATACTATAGTCCAAAACAAAACTGCAACAAAATAAAGTTTATTGAGAAGGAGTTGATATGGAAAGTGTCTTACGCAGTGTGAGGGGCAGAAAAATGAGGTTCATGTTAACGGCTGGAATTTGTCAAGGGTAGACAAAAATAACCAGCCAATTTGTCCTCCCTTGCTTTACTTACTAAGCATAGTGATGAAAATTAGAAATGTTATCTAGAGTTAAAACTCCATTCCATTAATTTGACAACACAGATAACTCTTTTTCAGTTTAAATGTCATACAATTTCAACACACTTGCCAACAAAAATATATTCTGCTAACTCCATGGTTATAAAATTTCTTTTATACATAGATGAGCAACGATTAGTTCTGTTCTGGATAAATAAAGAATTTAAATATATAAATTCATTATTACAGGTTGAACTGGCATTATGGGATACAGCAGGACAAGAAGAATATGACCGTCTGCGACCATTATCTTACTCTAACAATGATGTTGTGCTTATGTGCTTTAGTCTCGACAACAAAGATAGTCTTGATAATGTTTCTGAAAAATGGAAACCTGAAGTAAGCCATTACATGCCTAGAGTACCAATAATCCTTGTTGGAACCAAAAAAGACTTAAGAACTGGCTCCAAATCCAAAAAATCTAATTCAGATGTTGAACAAGTTACATATGAAAAAGGTCTCCAAATGAAAGAGATGATCAAGGCACATGAATATCTTGAATGCTCATCCAAGACAAGAGAAGGGGTTAAAGAAGTGTTTGAAGCTGCTACTCGAGCAGCTCTTAAGAATAATCGAAGGAAACCAAATGCTAGGAAATGTAAAATTTTTTAAACTGTATATGCCAGAATTAAGCTGAAACTAATTTTAATTTAGTATATTATCTTATTTTGCTGAAAGTTTAGATCTTAAACATTTACCAGTTTTCACTTAGAACAAAGGAGGATCAGGGTGATGACATTCACTGTCTCAATTAAATATATGTACACCCCTACGTTTTTACTGTTATTAGAATCTGATTAGCATATAAATTTATTAAATCCAAGCACAAATTAAACTGTATATATAATGGCTTGGTTTCAGATAATTTCTGAATTATTATTTTTAAATATAATTAAAGATAACTGCATGAAATCAGTAAAAACTACATGTAAACTCCATATGACCATAACTTAAACATGCATTATGCAAGAGCTAAATCTGCCTATTGCAGGTCTTTCTTTAAGGCATTTAATGTTATCTAAATTATTAATTAGAGATTACTGAACTTACCAAGACCATAATCAGCTCTCGATGCCATCAGATGCCTGCGATTTTTAGCGGATTTGAATACACTTTGTGGTGAATGAAATAACCATAAATATGGAAAATTGAGACTTTGTTAGAAGCAATTTGATTGTAATTTTCAGCATATTCTCTTTTCATTATCTATTTTGTAACAATTTTAGTAAGAAATTTTAGCTCTTTATCTAATCTTACCTGATGCCCCTTTAAATGAGATAGATGTCTTTAATTTAATTTAGGTCACAATATATATCATTGAATTGGGTTGTTCTGATGCTTATGGTAATTTGATGGGATATTTTTGTTTAGAAATATTAAAGATACATTATTGGAGATTAGATAAAGGGCTGGCAGTTCTCACTATAATAGTTAAAACCTATAGATAATGTAAAGGGAATTTGTGGAAAATTTCAGTCAAATTGATCCACTCTGAACTGAGAATTTGGCGATTGAATTTTCAGCCTAGCCTCGATCATCATTACCAAAGTCGGTATGATAAAAACATAGTCTCGATTATCCATTTCATGATTAAATCATGAATGAAACTTGAGTAGCAAATCGGATCCTAATCCAGTAATTATTGCAGGCTAGCGATGACATCGAGAGTTGATTATGGTCTGGATAAGTTAATTAATGTCTAATTAATAATTTAAATAACATTTCAGGCCTAAAGGAAGACCTGCAATAGGCAGAATTAGCTCTTGCATAATGTACGTTTAAGCAGAATTTGTCTATCTTTTACTGTATCTAACTTCATCTTTAGATTTAGACTATTCAAATCACAAAACAAATCAAAATATAAAATCCAATGAAATCAAAATTTTGGGTGGAACAAGTTGTGTGTGTGTTGGTATTTATAGATTTGAATAACGATAGTATGTTTTTAGCATGTACACTTTTGATTGAGTCTTAGACTCTACTTGACTTATTGCTCTTGCATCTTGTTATCTACATTTACCAATTTATATTATGTATATTACCTGAATTAGCTTTATATCAATTGAAGAAATTCATTTTCTGTGGTGGACTTCTGCTTCATATATAATATATTCTTTCCTGAAAGAAATTGAACTTCATTCTTAAAACCGTTTTTCTTAAAATATCAACTTAATATAAAACAACACAGTTCTATGAATAACAATCACTATATTATATACACAACACATTTCAAGAAGATTTCATTAGTTGTTTTTTGTATGCTTGAAATCTTATCGAAGTGTTGTGTGTACCGTATATAATATTGTGATTGTTATCCATAGAACTGTGCCGTGTTATATTATGTTTAATCACCAAATGCCAATCTAAAAACATATATCAACTTTAATATGTAATTATGTATAATAAATCTCATAAATATCTAATGTTTATATATCTAAAATTCTTCTTTGTCTAGAAGACATTACCTTTCAATTAAAAGTGATTAACATTTATTTATATACATATATTTTTTAAAAATCTAGTCCAATAAGTTCAATTATGCCATCACCCTGTCGATCAGTTGGTACATCAACAATTGGCTTGCCTGTGAAGCGATAGAGAGTAGGCTACAGTTTTTTGCAGATTGTTTTTTAAATTTTTGGGGGAAGCATTGGGGCCATGAAAGGGAGGACCCTATTTATATTCAACATTCCAGACTTATGCCCCTTTTTCACAAACAGTTTTTAACTGATTTCAAATGGTGGTTTCTCTATCTTTGCTGAATATCCTAAAAGAATAGGGTTATTGTTTCAACCAAATGGTGAATAACTAATTCACCATCCGGGCAGCATATACCACTCCCTTGAAAATTAAATTTGCCTACATTTATTATTTTGGTGAGAGTAATAATTATGGTGGCTGATTGGTATCATGTCGTAATAATGACCTTCATAAGGCGACAACCCGACATCACGCCGTTTTAATCTGACAACACAAAATTTTAACCCAACCTGATACAGCATGATGTTGGGTTATCATGTTATCGCCTTTCTAGAACAATGTTAAAAGCTACCATGCTCATCTCAATATTAGGCATATGTACACTGATCCTGGCGTTGGTCAAGATAATTCTGCAGGATTTTGCAGTGTGGTTTCTCTCTGTCGGTAGGGCAGGGCGGAAGGCCTGGCAAAGAAGTGTCTAACTGGGACAAATAACACAAGCTTCTGTGTACACATTGGCATGCACATAAGATAAGAGAATCCTTCACAGTTGGAATTCAATGAAGAAATGCCCTGTCCAGGGAAAATTTCCCTCAAAGCACACTGCATAGTGTATATGCCCATCTACAATAGTCCGATTGGTGCAGAAACGTAGGATGTTAAACCCCATTTCATTGACTCAATTGGTAGAAAATTTGATATGATATATTATAATAAAATAGAGAAAAAGTAATCATGAAAATGTAGTTTATTATGAATAACACTATTATTGCACTATTAAATTGTAAATAATCACAAATCATAAACATAAATATGGAATGGGGTTTAACATATCTTGTCAACTTCAGTATTTCATTAGGATAACATGTGGTAATCTTTATTCTATGACTGTTTGTAAAATGCAAGGAAGGAGAATTTTGCCCAGACAGCGTCTATCTGTCCATGCTTCTTTGATTTTAAACTATCAAGGGCTCTTTTATGTACATGCTAAGTATATGGTTCTTTACGTATATGTTCCTTTACGTACATGTACTGGGTTCTTTTCTCTTGTTAGAACAATATTAATTACAACAAGCCAACAGTGAGGCCGAAATCCCAAAATAAATAGATGACACATATTAATTAATCACACATTTACTTTTTTCAAAAGTATCAAGCATTCAAACTACACTAAGATTCATCACCTTCTATCAGATAGAATCAAATTTATCTTGTCCCAAAACATCGACCAATGAAATTTCTTAGCTCTGCTTAGCTTTAGCTCGAAATGTTAATTATTGAACTCAGTCAAGACATTCACCTAATGAACATCTACATCAAGTTTAAACATTCTACCTCAATTAAAAGCAGAGTTGTTATGTTCCAAAGTCTTGACCAATCAAATTGCTTATCGCTCCTTAGCCTAAGCAGAAAATTTGGATCATCGAACTTAGTCAAGGTAATGATATGATGAATCTATACTAAGAGTTTCATCACTCTAACTTATTTATAACCAAAGTTATCATGCCCCAAAGCATCAACCAATCAGATTGCTTATCTCTGCTTACCGTAAGCAGACGATGTTTATCATCGAACTCCATCAAGGCATTCACCTATTGAACCCCTACACCATGTTTGAATATTCTACCTCAATTAGAAAGAGAGTTATTGTGTTCCAAAGTATCGACCAATCAAATTGCTTATCGTTCTGCTTATCGTTCTGCTTACCCTGAGCAGAAAATGCTCACTATCGAACTTAGTCAAGGTATTGATGTGATAAAACTATACACCAAGTGTTTATTTATCAAATATCTCTAACCCAGGTCGGATTGTAAATTCCTGGATTATTGCCCCTGACTGTACAACATTATAAACATGATAGAGGATTTGATGTGAAAATGAAATGAAATGAAGTTTAATGTTTATGTGCTATTTTTCTGCACTGGCTTGGCTAATAAACACACGTGTTTGCCATACAATGTGCTATGAAATAAATTCTGCTCGGACAGCAGCGTAATTGCCTATTCTTATTTCGAATTCAAACTGTCGATGATTCTTTTACATGCACGCAATGAATAGACAGTGTCATTGCTAGGCCCTCCATCCCAAACCACTGACAAGGGGAAACTACACTGAAAAATTCCTGGTTATTGAGCCACTGCAGCTTCCGAAATTTGGCGTGAAGTAGTGCTGGGTATTGTGACTGCTTGAGATTCAATACGCGAATCGTGAGATGGTGAATCGCGATACCGTGCCAACACAAGTGTGAAGCATTGGGACAATGAGAGCATGAGCTCTATTGATTTTCCCTGGACAGTGGCATTTCCAATGGTGAAGGTTTCTTTTATGTACACGCTGTATACAGGAGCTTGTGTTTTTTTGTTTCATCTACAGTACACAACTAGACATTGTGTTTTGCCAAGCTCTTCGTCCTGAACTACCGACAGAAAGAAACCGCACTGCAAAATCCTTTAAAAGACATGGACAGAATGATGTTGATTTGTGGTCTAGAGCATCCAGACCAAGCAAAATTTAGAGAAAAGTTAAAGCCGGGCATTGGTGGTCTTCCCCCGTTGAACGCCTAAGGATGCATTTTGACTGTAACAAAAAAAAAAAAGAAATTACGAACCATCCTTGACATATTTATACCGATGGTAAAATCTTTAGATGAGTTCCAGACCAAGGAAAATTTAGAGAAAAGTTGGTGGTCATTGGTGGTCTTCCCTCGTTGAACGCCTAAGGAGTTATGCCCCTTGATGCATTTTGACGGTAACAAAAAAAAAAGAAAGAAATTACGAACCGTCCTTGACATTTTTATACCGATGGTAAAATCTTTAGATGAGTTCCAATAACTGTACATGTGACTTGCTTCGTAATAACCATCACGGGTTGGGGCTAAACTGTATGGACAATTCGTAAACAATAATACATCTTCAAGTGAAATTTCATGGTCGAATCTATCCAATGAGAGTTACGTCCCTTACATGATTTTCAATGGTGGAGGTAAGATTACGGTCACAGAAACAGGTGCTTGGTCAATGTATAACCATAGACATATTTTTAATAATAATATTATTAATATGTCTATGGTTTGGTCTTCTTTGTGCCCATTTGTGGTGTGAAATTTCTCAATTTAACAGGTATTTTATCATAAGAAAATGACAGCACGTTAGTTTTGATTAGATTTGTGTAATAATGTAATTACATAGAAATGCCCAACTATGGTTTATTTCATATGTTTACCATAGCAACGCAAGCAAGTTCAGTGACAGTTTGAGTTGACGTTGTGATCAGAATGATCAGCCAAATCGGACCCTTTCTCAAACTCCATTTAAGGTAGTTTCTTTAGGAACTGTCTTAGTTCAGCTCTGAATGTAGGTCTCATTACACTCGCCCAGTACGTTCAGGAACCTTCCTATTGAATCCTTGTCAAAACTAAAATCAGCCCCAGTCAATTTAATTGGGCAACTTTTTACTGCTAAACGGTCGTGTGTCAGTCTCCGTAAAGGGAGCAGGTCGTTTCATCCCACTACTGGTTCGTCTTGGGCTGTTTCATCCCAAATTTACATGGGTCGTTTCATCCCACTTATATCGGGTCGTTTCATCCCACAAATTTAAAAAACAGGTATTGCATGAATTTTTAATATTTTATTTATACATTAATACCAATAACAATATTTCAATGCAATTTTATCATGAATAGTGTCCAACTTCTTCCTTTGCATATTTTAGCTTATTTTCCGAATATTTTATTTATACAATATGTCAATGCAATTTTAACATGAATAGTGTCCAACTTCTTCCTTTGCATACACTTTAGCTTATTTTCCGAATCCACAACAATTCTCGACACCAATTTCACTAAAATTACATCGCTTACAATCGAGCGATACCCATAGCAAAACTTTGAACTTGTAATATAGTCATTTACATGCATGTTGGTTTCACTAACAAAATTGCCCGTGATAGAACAGATCAAAGAATAAAATTGCACGTACACATGTTATCTTCAGTTGTTCACACTACCTGGCGCCTCAAATAACCTAACGTTAAAAGAAAGCATGCAGTGTCCACCTTACAACAGGTTCCATTGATTATTGATTTATGATTTATTTTAAAATTTATCACACAGTTTAGACCACAATGTGTTACGATTTGCATTTTGGTATTCTAAATTAATTCTTATTCGGAATTCTTATATTTGGAGTTGTTTAGTTCGATTTCGTGTACAGAAATTAAATCAACAATTAGTTTTAAAATCTTTGAAAAGTTGAGAATCTTCAGTCATTTATTGCTTTGCCTAGCCCAATTGCAATAATTTACAATCAAATTTTTTCAAACATCCCAAAGTTGTTTCACCTGCTTACCTAAATTTTGTTTCGTCTTATATGGCCGAGTTACGTAAATTTGTGCATCACCCTATATTTAGATTTCAATGGTGTTTAGCAGACAAAAAATTTACTGGCCTATTAATTCCTTTAGTAACTGTGTTTTATCGGACGATGTCGTCGCAATATGAAAATACCGCTCATCCCCCACCTCTGGTCTAAGCCTATTTTGGAATCCTTATCGACTATTTTTCACCGTGATTCATTTCTTGCCACAGCTGACACAGATTTATAATAATTCAACACTATTGTCAAGTAGAATTTTGCGATTAAAAACATACACAAAATATGTTTAAACTAATGAGCCATTACGAGACTAGACCACACATTTATTTAATCGCTAAATTCTACTTGAAAATAGTGTTGAATTTTTATAAATTTGTGTCAGATATGTTGAGAAATCATTTCGTTTGTAAAAAATAAAGAACCATAGTGAAAAATAGAAGGTAAGGGTTCCAAAATAGCCTGAGAACAGAGGTTGGGAGGAGCATTATTTTATCGTAGTTTCATATTGCTGCTATATAGGAAGGGATAGGAACTGTCAGCCGACATCGTCTAGTCAGAGACATTTCCTAAAGGAACTAATGGCCTATCACTCCCTTAATAATTCCTAATTAATCTGACCCCAAACTGTACTGCAGATAGCTTAACATATACTATTCAAAAAAAGTAGGGGATATTTGATTTTGGGGGCATAATACTAAAATATGCAAATGACTACGAAAAAAGTCACTATAGAACCTAACAGAAGAAACATTTCCAGTTACATGTGACGCCCAAACGCACCAATAGCTACCGCATGGAATGCAGGTGATGCTTGGGATCATCATGGGGGTCCAACCCAAGATTTGCACGACTCTGACTTTGAATGTTACATTCATTGTGGCATTGAATTCCAGGGTGGAAACATCAGTTTAATTGTTTTAGTGACCAGAAAACAAATTTTGATATGCGTCGGCTTACCCAAAATGAAAGGTTACGTGCCCTTGTCATGCTACAGATCGGCACAACACAGGCGGTTGTGGCGCGGACGATGAATGTTTCTCAGTCTGTCATAAGCAGGCTATGGTCCAGATACCGTGATACACAATCTGTACAGGACAGACCACGCTCAGGTCGACCAAGGGCGACAACTCAAGCCCAGGATCGATTTATCCGTACCTTGGCCTTGAGAAATCGTGTCATCACAGCAAATCAGATCAGCGCTCGTCTTCAAACAGACACTGGTGTGAGAGTGAGTGGCCAGACGATTCGGAATCGACTGCATAGGGGTCACCTTCGCGCCCGACGTCCTCGCGTGATCCCTTGTTTGAGAGATCATCACATTCAGGCAAGACGTCGTTGGTTTAGGGATCGTCAACACTGGGATAATCGACGCTGGAGCAATGTGATGTTTTCAGATGAGTCAAGGTTCACTGTTGATTTTTTGGACAGACGTAGGAGGGTGTGGCGTCATCGAAACGAGCACTTCCAAGACGTTAACGTCATCAGACATGATCGATTTGGGGGTGGTTCTGTTATGGTGTGGGGAGGCATCACTGTTGCTGGAAGAACGGCTTTACATGTTGTTGCAGGGCGTGTTACAGGCCAGTACTACCGGGACAACATCTTGGCAGTCCATGTTGTGCCGTTCGCACGACGTCATGGCCGCCGTTTCATCTTCCAGGATGACAACGCAAGATGTCACAGGGCCAGGATCGTTACAGGTTACCTCCAACAACAGAACATCACCACATTACCTTGGACAGCACTGAGTCCCGACCTCTCCCCCATCGAGCATGTCTGGGACATGCTTGGACAGAGGTTACGTCAACGTCAACAACGTCCTGCCAATGTCCAAGAACTTGCTGCTGCGTTGCATTACCTTGGCCAGCACTGAGTCCCGACCTCTCCCCCATCGAGCATGTCTGGGACATGCTTGGACAGAGGTTACGTCAACGTCAACAACGTCCTGCCAATGTCCAAGAACTTGCTGCTGCGTTGCAACAGGAATGGGACAATCTGGACCAAAATGGCCTTAGATGTCTCATTAGGAGTATGCCACGTCGGATCAATGCTTGTTTGGCAAACAGAGGAGGATTTACCCGTTACTGACTTGGTTGTGATGCTGTGGTAACTTTGCTGTTTGACCCCGGGTATCATTTTACCCTTATAATGGTCAGTCTGTGCCTTACTTAGTCTAACGATCATTTGGAATAAATCGATGAATGTGAACTTCATTTCATTTTGTCATTTGTTTCTTCGTCAGTTTCATTAGGTGACTTTAATAACACTTAAAAATCAAATATCCCCTACTTTTTTTGAATAGTATATAATAAACCAATTTCCATTGAAATAAAGGTCAAACCTTACCACATAATTATATGATTTGATAAAACCCAACTGCTACACAAAATTTCTGTCCATTTTAAAATGGCCGCCAAACAAGAATTAGAACCCGCACATGATTTCACTTTACCTCGAAAATACAGAGAAAACTGTTCGGTAAGATAAGATTAAGATTTCAAAGTTCCACTCTTCACAATTTGTAACATAATTACTTATTTCCATGCAAACTGTGACAATATGTTTTCAAAATTTTGCAATTGAACCAAATTTTACTTGTGCAAAAACTTAAATAGTGTATCAATTGATTGCAGCTACATTTAAGGCATAACATTATGAAATTCCAGACTTAAAGGCAAATATAAACTTGCATGCCATACATAATAAAAGTAATCTTGCCAAAATGCACATTGTCATTGGTCCAAAATTGTTTCTAAATCAGCTTAGTCAGTCCTTAATTAAAAGGAAGTCATGACCATCTAAACTTAAAGTTACCATTTTTAAGAAATAAACAGTTTTGGTTTTTGTATGCAGTATTCTTACTTTAAAACTATTATTGTGCAAATGATTGATATCATGATAATCATACAATGTTCACTTATCTTTCTAAACAGTGCACCACACATAAACAACAGAGAAACCAATACGACAAGCCTATATACAACACACCCATATTACTAACAACAGTAGTACTGGTACTCTCAAATCAAATGAATTGATCCGAGGTCTGGCCTGTAAGCATCCACTGTACTATACAGTCTCGTGCTACAGTAATACAGGCTTCACTCAAAATGAAACGAACTCATAGAAAAAGAGACAATGTATAACAAGAATTTACATTGTAGCCTGTTATTCAAGTGTCGTTCATAATCAGCTGTGTCTTTACAAGAGCTCTGGAGAAATCAATTTATAACTAGACTATTCACTTTATAGAAATGGGACAAAAAGGCAAGTCCAAAAGATTTGAAAAATATGAGTCTATTATATACAAAGTTCAGGTATAAGTTGTTTTTCAAAAACAGAAAAAAACCCTAGAAATACCAGAAAGAATCAATATAAATGATGTGAGCGTTCCTGATGGCAGTCGTCTGTCTAATAACGTCTCTTGACAACAGTAGTTTGCGGAATGATGTTAAATTAAACTGTCAAGAAATGCAAATAGCAATATAGGCAATAATACATTAAAAAAATTTGAAATGTCCCACAATGGTTTGAATTTTAAAGGTCAAATCCTGATAATATTTTGGAGAATAAAATTGCTTTATTTTGTGTTAAAATCCCTTACCTAAGGGCCGAGCAACTAACTCAATATTTGTATACGTTTTCAAACAACTTGAACCCATCAGTCTTCATCTGGAAATGCAGACCGGTGTCCCAAGCTGTATTATGCAGTGATAGTGAAATTACCATTCGTTATCAAGTACAGCACATAGGTCATTTACTGTATAGCCAAAGGAACGGGAATCGATTATCAGGTCACCCATCGAAAAAATTGACCAAAAATCTTAAAAGGGTTACGTGTCCGGATAAGCATTTTTGACATTCACGTCCAATCGACTCAATATTTGGAACTGAAATCTTTGAGACAATGTAAATACACCATTCCTCTATATTTTGGCGCTTAAATTTCATATGTACTCAGACTTTTATTTTTGAGACCCTGTTCAAATCGGGATAGTCCCTTTAAATCAATATATATAGATTATCTGAGTCCTCACCAGATTGTGACTAGCCCTAGCGGCATAGTGTATTGTATCTTTCTGTCTGACTGAGTATCATTATTGTTTTTTCTAAGATCCTGTTAAATCAAGACCTGTAGATGTAAAAGTATGTCATCTTTCACAAATGAAGAACCAGTCATTGAACAGAACATAAAAGAGTTTATTTACTCTAAAACTGGAGAATGTGTGTTTGTTGATATACAAACTCCTTCCTCCATAAAGATTGTTCCAAAAATCAAACATGGGTCAATTGTCTTGGGAATCTTGTGGGTGAAAGTATTACAACATCGTGGAAATTATCCTGTGATCAGATATCCATACAAGAAAATGGTTGGTTCAAAATCTGTGAATGAAATAGTATTGGGTCTTGAAGATGTTGTGATTATAGTTAATTTGAAGACCGGATTATTGGAGATCAAAGGCCGATTTGTGATTGAGTGGTTTACTAGATATTTTCAGTCAGTTCTAGACGTGTATGATGGTATCCTTAAAGAAACCTTTAAACTTGAAAAGATTTACACAGAGAATGAAGTAAAGCATCTAGATCGAGACATCGAAACAAATAAACAATACTGTAATTATATACCAGTTCTTTATTTTGTTATCTGTAATAAATATATTAAAGGCTTGATGTAGCATTTAGCCTATAGGAATCCCTTGCAAACTACAATATTGAGAAAGTTTAATAATAGGGATATTAGTCCAAAAACAGTTCCATTCAGTATTTACAAAGCTATTATAATTGAAATTTCATTGATCTATGATGCTTGAGCGTAACAAGACACTGCCATCTTTTAATAGTAGCGGAGAAACCTGATGGGCCTATTTTAAATCTGATTGAATCCAAGCCGGTAGATTATCTAGCGTCTGTATTTACATATTTAGCATGTATTAAGCCTTGAGAAATTTGATATTTTTCCAAACATGAAAATAACACACCAAGCAACAGTAACTCACAAAATTACCAGTAGTGGTTTATAAACATGCAAGGTTTCGTCTCTATCAAGCAAATGGTAACATGGCAGGAACTTATCTATAAAACATGATTTTGCTATAGAATAGACCCCCACCCCCTCTTCCCTTGTACCTCAACCATTCTGGTTAAATATTGCTATATATAGCTCTAAAACATACTTGCTTAGTTGTAACAGTAGTTTAAAATGTAGGTATCTAGTATAATTTATATTTATTTCTATGTTCCAAACATTTTCTTTTTAAAAATAGATGCTAATAACTGGCCAGATGAAGCCCTGAAAGATGGAGTATCAGTTTTTAATGTCTCTTCTAATGAGTTAACTTCTGTTGACAATGAGGTACCATTAGAACTACAAGTTCCAGACAAAAAAGATTTGGATGTGGTAAGCATTTATCAACAGCTATAAAACAAACATATCCTACAGACAATTAGCTGTAGGTAGACACAGCCATTCCATAGTTATTCACCTACAATATGGAAATAGATCACTAATGATTTCCCCATTGACTTTAATATTAATTATCATCTCTTAGACCAGCTCTAACTTTTTCCAAAATTTTCGTTGGGTAGAACGTTTTCCGCCACAGATGGAGCAACATGTGGCAAACTCTTGCCCGAAGGCATATGTAAGGTTCACCATGAAAAACTTGAGATACACAAGCTTCAAGTAGAGACAAGTAAACATCCAATTTTCGGCCCTACATTTCAACCTAACATCCTCTCAACTATTGTATCCTTCCACCTCAAAATCATGAATATTTACCAAAACCTGGCAGAAAGTAATTTTCCACTTTTTTTAGATAGCCAGACTGGCAAGGAATATATTTTTAGAAACCCTGGACAATATGCAAACAGAAAAGTCACAAACCAGTTGCATTGATTGTAATATTAGAGATCTATACTGAAACATGTATTCCCACCCCCTAAACGTGTCACTGACTAAATCTATCTAATCTTTGGTTGCAGAACTAACATTACCAAAGGAATCTGTCTAACAGCTATGTTTTACCATCCCTGGCTGACATATGTACAAATAAACTAAAATATGTGCAATAAATATGAATTATGGTTAAAAATAGGCCTTGATGAAAGAAAACAATGGTCACAGAATACACAATTTTGACAAATTTGGAAATATTTCAATGTTTTCAACATCTCAAAACTCAGAGGCATCATACAAATCTTTGTTTCGACCTTTACATCAATTTAGGGAAAAATTTCCAAAATTTCCAAAATGTAGTTATGACAGAGTTGACAACATAAAGGAGACCTGAAAAGGAGCAAAATTAACATTTTACCTCAATCACCACAAATCCTAGATTTTGATAAGAAAATATTGAACATTAAGCTGACATTTACACATCTACACCAGTTTTGTATCAGGGTGTGGTCTCATTGACCTGATATGTCTCAGGGCTCTAAGTTTGACTTTAAACAAAAAAGGTTAGAAATCTTTGAAATGTACAAAATAACTATTTATTGTTGAAAAATAACATTCCTAGCTGTAATTCAACCACAAATTAAAATTTCTATCATTTAATTGTCAACACAGGTGCAATTAAATCTCTCAAAACACATTAATAAAAAAGGTTGGGGTGGGGCATTTATAGCCTCTCTTAATGGAATGACGGAGTGAAAAATGTCTAGAAAGACTGGAATATTGCTTTCTAAATGAAGGAAATGCAAGAATTTAATGTTTCAGAGAAGAAAAATGCTTGTTCTAGGTAAAATAGTAGCAAAATTGAGCCAACCCCTGTTTTGAACATTTTGTACAAACCCATCTGCTGTGCATTATTAACTCGGTGCTACCAATTTTCAATTTTCTGTAGGAAAACTGGAACTATTTCTAAACCTGTCAAACTTATAGATCCCATCTAAGTTATAATAGAAAGGAAAATAAGGGCATTCTTAGACATTTTGACAGTCATGAAAGGATTAATTTCTACATCGAAATGGGAGAATCTGGAGATTTTCTGTGAATATTCCTGATTTTTAGACAAAATTTGGTGAAATTACAATACTGTTCACTTTATCTGTGCTTCCCGAGGCTGAATAAGCCAAATTGTGCATTAAAATATTTTTCTTACTGTTAGAAATTAAATAAAAACTGAAAATTGAGAAATTTGCAGTAAAATCAGAATTTTTTCTCTAACTTTTTTTTTTAAAATTTAACTTTTTTTTAGTTTTTCTGTTGTCAAAATATTTTATACATATTTTCTTAGAATTAAGTCTTCATATTTTCAAAACTAAGACATATCAGTCACAGCCTTGTCATACACAGACAGGCCACAGATCACTAATGATTTCCCCATTGAGGGGATCACGTGGCTAGCCTGGAGGTCGGGTGTTCGATCCCTGCATTGGCCGAGAAAGTTCATCATGATTTTCCGGTGTGGTTCCCCCTTGTCAGTGATGCAGGACGGAGGGCCTGACAAGGACATCTGTCTAGTCGTTTGGATGGGACGAAAAACCAAGGTCCCATGTACAAATTGGCGTGCACGTAAAAGATCCCTTGACAGTTTGAATTCGATATAAGAGTAGGCCGTAGTGCCACTGTCCGGGCAAAATTTTCCTCATAGCACACTGTATGGCGTATGCCCGTCTTCATTAGCCCAGTTCGGAGCAGAACAGTAGGACGTTAAACCCCATTTCATTTCATTTCCCCATTGACTTTAATGTTAATTTTCGTCTCTTTCCCCAAATTTTCGTTGGGTAGAACACTTTCTGCCACAGGTGGAGCAACATGTGGCAAACTCTTGCCAAAAAGCATGTATGAGGTTCACCATGAAAAACTTTAGATACACAAGACAAGTAAACATGCAATTTTCGACCCTACATTTCAACCTAACCAACCTCTCAACTCTTGTATCCTTCAGCCTCAAAACCATGAATATTCACCAAAACCTGGCAGAAAATGTATACTAAACAGCAAACAATATGTTGACACATTATTGATTAATTCATCACAATTCCAAGACATTACACAGTCTATACATCAGTATCTGGTTTGTCCACTGCGAGTGTCAATAACAGCAGCGCAGCGTCTGTACATGGAGTGGACCAGACGATTGATGAATGCCATTGGCACCTGGAACCACACTCTCAGAAAAGCCTTGCGCAATCTATCGACTGTTTTTGGTCTCGGTACGACGTTGTTAAGTCTCCTCTGAATTTCATCCCAAAGATGTTCAGTGGGGTTTAAGTCCGGACTAAGCGCTGGCCAGTGCATAACGTTGACATCGTTCTGCTGTAGAAAGTCCGAAGTAACTCTGGCGGTGTGGGCACGGGCGTTGTCATGCTGGAAAACGTTGTTTCGATGACGTGCGAAATGTGGTATGACGTGGGGTCTGAGAGCTTGATCGATGTAGTGCACTGCTGTGATGCCGCCTCCTCTCCCTGGACCAAGATTTTGGCATACCACAGGACCCACTCTCTGGTTGAGGCCGATTTTGCCCCAAACCATTATGCTTGGACCCCCCCCCCCCCCATGAGTCTCGTTCCATGACACATTGGTCAGAATAACGCTGGCCACGTCGACGCCATATTATAGTCCTGCCATCTGCAGTTGATAGGGCCTACGCAATACCGACTTTCATCTGTGAACAGAACAGTTCTCCATTGCCAGTGTAGCCAGTTCTGGTGTTGTTGGGCAAACTGTAGACGTTCACGTCAATGGCGAGGGGTGAGGATCGGTCCACGGTAAGGTCTACAGCAATTGATGTTCTGTCTGGTGAGACGTCTGCGCACTGTATCGGTACTGATGGGTCTTCCGTGTGTTCCCACTGGCTGACGTGCTGTCTCGGATGCCTGTGTGAAGGGATTCTGCACGTGCTGTCGCACAACATGGCGGTCTTGTCGCCTTGTGGTAACCCTTGGTCTACCAGTTCGGGGCCGATCATCTGTGGTGTTGGTGGCCCGAAAGCGTCGCTGAAGCCGGTAGATGGTCCGAACATGCGTCGAGTCTTCCAAGCGCCTGGTTCCTCTGAGCTGTCGTGAGTCGTGGCATGCTGCTGACGTTGTAGTGTGAATGATTCAACCTAGGTATGGGGGTGTATTTTATAGGGCAGGTCCAGGTGAACAGCACGTGCAGCATGAGTTACATGAAAATCATGGAGAACACATTAGCATCTCAGAAGTCAGGTTGCCTTTTTGAGAACATTTCCTGGGTTTAATTCTGTGTTTGGGAAGGAGCCTTATTGCTCAGGTAAAGTTGGGGATGTGGTCACAAATTATACAATAAAACATTTGGCAAGTTGTATGCAATCCGTCTGTTCACAGTAACATACCAACCTGATGTTTCTTTTGCTGCTTAGTATATTTTCAAACCCTTTTCTTCGATTCTACACCAAAAAGTCAACAAAAATCGCCATGAAAAAGGGAAAGGGAGAGAAAGACTAAATATAACTTTCGCCCTACATTCGTGGGTGACGGCGTAGAAATATTTGGTGAGGTTTGTTCAGTTATGACCAGCTCTGGCTAAATAAGATATATAACTTATGCCCCTTATTTCAGAAAAGGTACAAATTATGCAACAATAATTTTACCAATCCACCCTAGATCTTAAAGATGATTTAATTTAAGTCAGTGGTTTTGAAATCATGTTAGTTTAGTTTTTTTTTTAACTTTGAAAGTTTAATGGCTCTTGATATAATTGGACATCTGTATTTTAAATAGAGAGCAGCACTTCAATGACATCATTCCGTTTGTAAAATATGCAGGGTTGTGTTATCCTGATAGGATTGTTCTATTTGTTTCAGAAATCCTCATCGTGCTGGTTCTGATTTTTATAAACACGATGTATGTGCCACATACAAATTTAATGGTCTTGAATACAGAATTTAGATTTATGCATAGCTGTGTTTTGATCTTTTGACTTATACTGGTATGTCTCATTCAGCTATTTACATATATATTGATATTTTTGTTTTATTTTTAGATGACACAAGAAGAGGTAGATGAGCAGACATCAACATTAGCACCAGGCTCGGTATTAGATGGTGTTACTTTACATAGAATCTGGAGATCCCTTCTTAATGCATGGTGTTCAAGTGAAAATTGCAGTATTTCCATAGCAACACCACGAATTGATGTACCTAGTCTTGTGGAAATTTGCCACTTTTTCATCAAATACCGAGAAATTGTTAAAATATGTGCGATTTGTATTCCTATGCAGTTTGATGGAACAAAGCTTGGTGTTGTTAAACAGAATGTTTTAAAGGAGTTTTCTCCCAGTAATCAAATTTTCATTGAATATAAAGTATTCACTCAGTTTCTTTATCCTTTAAACACATTCCAGGTAGCGTTTATTTCCTCTCTAAATGAAGATGGCATTGTAGATGTTTTAGCAACAAGTGGCGATTTCACCAAATCGGGTTTCGGTAAGAAATCTAGTAATTTGGTTGTATATAATTCAATGCGGGAAGATGAATTTAAATCAAAATATCTGAATCCAATAATGGATTAATAATCAGATGTATTATTCAAATATAAATATTATAATAACAGAGTTTTAATTATTCTATACATTCTAATCAAAATACAGTGATTTGGGTTGTATTTAATTCAATGCGGGTAGATGAATTTAAATCAAAACATCTGAATCAAAATAATGGACTATCAGATATGCAATATACAATTATTATTTTATATAGACCTAATAAAAAAAGGGCTTTAATTATTGTACACATTCTAATCAAAATACAGTATCATGGTTGTATGTAATTCTAGCAGGAAGATGAATTTATATCAAAATATCAGAATCTAACAATTGATTATATACAATACAGTATACAATTAATATTTTTATACGCCCACATTTTCATGTGGACGTATATTGTCGTCGCTCCTGTTCGTCCGGACGTCGACAATTTGTTTGTGGACACTCTACGTGAGTCTACAGGTGTATATTCAAAAGATATTGTTTCCTTTCGAATTTGGCATGTATCAGACTGTAACTTCATGGATTATGGCCCCTAATTGTACGAAAAATCATTTTTTAGCCTGTGAACACTCTAGAGGTCACAATTTTTATTTGGTTTTGATGAAACTTGAAATGTAAGTTTATAACCCAAAGATCTCAGTTCCTTTCGATATTCGTGCATATCGCGGACTGTAACTTCCTGGATTATGGCCCCTGATTGTATGAAAAATCACGTTTTTAGGTCACAATTTTTATCCAATTTAAAAAAAACGTTCGAGTGTATCACCGTTGCACCATAATGTAGGTTGAGTTCGAATTTCGTGAAAATCGAATCGAAACTGTCAGACAAAATGGCCGCTCCCTGTACGCACAATTTTTATCCAGTTTTTATGAAACTTAAAACACGTGTTACCACAATATTGGTTTATATCGTCACTATTTTTTATCCGATCTAAAATACCGTTACACCATAATGAAGGCTGAGTTTGAATTTCATAAAAATCAGACCGAAACTTCCCGAGAAAATGTCCGATGCTTGAACGCAACTAGTGTAAAAGTATGTAATACCAAGGTTGTGGACCCTTTTTTCCCGATTTGTATGTTTATATCCCAAAGATCTCGGTTCTTTTCAATGTTTGGTATATTAGTAGACGATAACTTCCTGTATTATGGCCCCTGATTGTACAAATAATTATGATGGTTGAGTTCAAATTTGTGGACCCTCTGTAACTCACAATTTTTGTCCAATTTGGATGAAACATTAAGTATGTGTTTATATCCCAAAGGTCTCAAGTTTCTTTTGACATTCGCGCATTTCAGACCATAACTTCCTGGATTATGGCCCCGGGATTTATGAAAAATCGTGGGGTTTTTTTTTTAGCTTGTTCTCTATCCATCTCTTGCAAAATGTGGTTGTATCTTGCCTGACAACCGCTGGTTTACAGAATTGATAACAAAAAAAAAAGATTTAATTACTGTATATGCATTCTTATTAAAATACAGTAATTTAATAGTATGTAATTGAGTGTGGAGAGATAAATTTAAATCAAAATATTTGAATCCAATAGTGGATTTATTAATCAAATTTTAATTGATAACAAAATAGCTTTAATTACTGTAAAGTCAATCTGATTAAAATACAGACATGAATGCTTTTGATATTTTTTCATTATTCGCCCACATGGAAATGTGGACGTATATTGCCGTCGCCCCCGTCCTTCCGTCTGTACGTCCGACCGTCCGTCGTCCACAATTTCTTGTGACCGCTCTAACACCAAAAGTTATCACTCGATTGTTTTAAAATTGATATATGTTGTTGACATTAGTGCGATAAAGAATCCTATTGAATTTCCCATAATTACTTCTAGAGTTATGGCCCTTGTTTCACTTTGTTGCGCCTTTTGAGCGCTCTAACATCTAAAGTTATCTGCCGATCTGTATGAAATTTATATGTGTTATTTAAATTAGTAAAAAGAAGAATCCTGATGAATTTAAGCAATTTCCGTTTATTGAAATTTAAATGAAATGAAATGGGGTTTAACGTCCTACTGTTTCCGTTTATTACTTCTAGAGTTATGGCCCCTGTTTTCACATTGTTGCACCTTGTGAATGCTCTAACATCAAAAGTTAACTGCCGATCTGTATGAAATTCATATGCGCCATTTAGATTAGTAAATTTCAGCCTATTGAATTTCAGCAACAATAATTACTTCTAGAGTTATGGCCCTTGTTTTACTTTGTTCAACCTTGTTAATGCTCGATTGATGAAAGTTATCATCCGACATGTATGAAATTTATATGTATCATTTAAATTTGTGAAACGGGGGTCTGTTGAATTTCAGCAATTTCCATCAATTATTTCTAGAGCTATGGCCCTTGTTTTACTTTGTGAACCTTGTGAAATTTCAAAATTTTCTGAAAATTACTTCCAGAGTTAAGGCCCTCGTTTCAGTTAGTAGAACCTTGTGAACCGTCAAATGACAACAATTATAATCGGATCTGTATGAAATTGTCTTGTAAATGCTCCCAATTACCTACAAAAGAGTAAATATGCGTCAACCCTTGTCGACCGCCCGGGCGATTAAGCTTCTGTGGACGTATGTTTTGTTGCCTGGCAACCTATCTTCTTTTAGTAATTTTTATTTCCTCTGGTACAAAGCATAGGTCAGGTCTTGTTTTGACCACTTCTGCGAGAATACCACTGAGTCTTTTTGGCTCTGTTCCTGGTGTGGTAGAGTAAAATTACTCCGATGTATCTATAGATTTATAATTTATTAAAGCAACACTCCCAGAGTTCACATGTATTACGTTAACCAGTCCGTAAAAGTATCAAAGGCCAAAATGTTTAGGTATATTATTATATGTTTGTAAAGTGGTGGATACACTAGCTGAATCAATCGGCGTCAAAATTCGCCTAGTGTGCCCACTGCCATTCGGCCAAATGATTCGCCCGAATCAAACATGTTTGATATATTTGGCCGAATTTGGGGTAATATAGTTCATAATTGTCGCACAATTTTCCTTCATAAAAATAGAAATATGTTATCCTAACAATTTTAATTAAGCATTTCTGTCTGTTTCACTCAAAGAGTAATCATATCCCTTTCCACTACACCAGTATTTTGAAAGTATATAACATAGGACACGCATGTATGAAAGTATAATCATGAATTATCAACTGGATTTGTTGTTGAGAGGTTTTAAAAGTTCAATAGAACAAAAGTATGGTGATTGTTGTGTTAGATATTTTTGAGAGTTAAACATCTCCATCATAAAACAAGGCAAATTATATGATCTGTATTTTAATCAAATTGATAAGTTGTTGATAAAATAACTATAATATACCAAATAAAAGTATTCTCATACATTTACATAACTATATATATATATATGCCTAAAACTGTGATATATTTACGCATTTTTATATGCCCACATTTTTATGTGGATGTATTATGTCGTTGCCCCTGTCTGTCCACTCTACAGGTCACAATTTTTATCCGATTTTCACGAAACTTGAAATATAGGTTTATCTCCAAAAGATCCTGGTTCATTTCGATATTGGCATTTATCGGATTGATACTTCATGGATGTTGGCCCCTGATTGTACGAAAAATCACGTTTTTAGCTTGTGGACACTTTAGAGGTCACATATATTTATCAGTCTTGATGAAACTTAAAATATATGTTTATATCCAAAAGATCTCGGTTCTTGTCGATATTAATGCATATTGGACCGTAATTTCCTGGATTATGGCCCCTGATTGTACCAAAAGTTGCATTTTTTTTTTAGCTTTTCTCTGGGCGTTTCTTGCATAGAAACCGCTTGTTCTAATATTTTATCATTTTTTAAAGAGTGATTTTTCTGTTATCTGTTTATATTCTATGAGGTGTAATTTTAGATGTTCCTGTGTAATTTTACTTTGTTAAAGTGTGTGATAATGAATACAGCATGTAGAACTATTTATGATGGACAGGCTGTAGAACAAGCATTTTCTAATTATTACCAACTGCTAGTTCTGCAACAAAGTTTTTTCACATGTTGTCAATAAAACAAGTATTCCTGATATGAAAAATCAATTTGTTATGTACTCAATGATAACGTTTAATAAATTGTTCTTTTTTGTTGTTTCCTTGTATATTTCATTTAAAGATACATTATGCAAGAGCTAAATCTGCCTATGGCAGGCTTTTCTTTAGGCCTAAAATGTTGTATAAACTATTAATTAGATAATTATTAACATAACAAGACCATAATCAACTCTCGATGCCATCTTATGTGTCCGATTTTCATTGGATTTGAATACGCCGATTGATGATTAACCGCAAAAATGGATAATGGAGACTTTGTTAATTATCGTGACAGCGGTAACAATCATAATCGAGGCTAGAGTGATTTTAAGGTAAGGGTTTCTTGGCTTAGGGTCAAGCAATTTGACAGACATTTTCAGCATATTCCCTTAACTTTATCCAGTTTTTAACTATTATATGGAGAACTGTCAGCTCTTTATCTAGTCTTCCATAATGTATCTTTAATCCGTTTCCTTATTATTACCATATACCTGCATTTAGAAAACCTCCATAGATATTACCTAATATGAAACAGGAATTAATGCGCCATAAAATAAATGTGATCCTGGTCAAAATATAGTTATTTTAGTAACGTAAATGTATCGGCCCTGCTCTCTACTACTTTAAAGTAACTAGTCAAAATAATGCTGTTGAAATTAATGTGAGCAGTCGTACCCTACTTGATTTTGTAATTTTAACAAATAAATTAGTTGGACACTGTTCACAAGTTATGTTCCTTGGTTACAATTAACTTCCAAACTTGCTTGAAAATCGCGTTTTTAGGTGAATTTTGACACGTATTAAAGCAATGATTTTATATTAAAAATGACAATTTGGCATGAAGAACGGTATATTATCAAATATCAATTTAATAGGGCTATAAATTGTTGAACCAATGATGGATTTGGTTACAACTTCCAAACTTGTTTGAAAATTGCATTTTGAGGGGCATTTTGACACCAAAAAGTTATGATTTTATATGAAAAATGACAATTTGCCATAAAGAATATACATTATCAAATATTGAACTTTTGTGAACTTCCAAACTTGCTTGGAAATAACATTTTGAACGGTATTTTGACCCTGAAACGCTACGATTTTATATTAAAAATGAAAGTGTGTGATACGACACGAGTTGAAATAATGGTGAATTTGGTTAAATTGTGCAAGCTTGCATGGAAATCACATGTTAAGGGGCGTTTTGACACAAAAACGCTACGATTTTATGTTAAAAATTCTGACAATTTGATATAAAGAACGGTAGGCCCTATATTATCATTATCGATATACATTATAAGCTATTATACGAATTGAAATAATCGTGGATATGTGTAAATCGTAGGCCTACGTGTAAACCGATAAAATAAAAAAAAATTAAAAAAACCCGCTCGGATCGGTAATTAGAAGAGGACCGTTTTTGTCAATGTACTGTACTGTAGGCTGTTGCCTTATAGTTATAAATAAACTGTTTGTTTGTTGTTTGTTGTTTTTGTCAATATTTCTATTATCCATATATTTTTTTTTATACGCCCACATTTTCATGTGGACGTATTATGCCGTCGCCCCTGTCCGTCCGGACGTCTGTCGGTCCGTCCGTCCGTCCGTCCACAATTGTTTGTGGACTCTCTACAGGTCACAATTCTTATCCGATTTTGACGAAACTTGAAATATAGGTTTATCTCCAAAAGATCTCGGCTGCTTTCGATATTGGCATGTATCAGATCGAAACTTCATGGATTATGGCCCCTGTTTGTACGAAAAATCACGTTTTTAGCTTGTGGACCCTATAGAGGTCACAATTTTTATCCGATTTTGTTGAAACTTGAAATGTAAGTTTATAACCCAAAGATCTCGGTTTCTTTCGATATTCGCGCATATCGAACCATAACTTCCTGAATTATGGCCCCTGATTGTACGAAAAATCGCGTTTTTAGCTTGTGGACCCTATAGAAGTCATAATTTTTATCCGATTTAAAAACTCGTATTATTATATCACCGTTACACCCTAAGGACGACTGAGTTCGAATTTCGTGAAAATCGGCCCAAAATTGACAGACAAAATGGCCGCCGTTCGTTCTCAAATAGCGTAAGAATATGGTATATCAAGGTTGTGGACCCTATAGACGTCACAATTTTTATCCGATTTTGTTGAAACTTGAAATGTAAGTTTATAACCCAAAGATTTCGGTTCCTTTCGATATTCGCGCATATCGGACCGTAACTTCCTGAATTATGGCCCCTGATTGTACGAAAAATCGCGTTTAGTAGTCATAATTTTTTTAGGAAAAATCACTTTCTTGTTAGCTTATTCTCTATCCATCTCTCGAAAATGTGGGCGTATCCTGCCTGGCAGCCGCTGGTTATGAACCATATAATGTTGTACATATATGATGTATCTATAACACATCACAAGCCAGTGCGCCTGTTATCGTGTATCTCATGATAGAACATGAATGTTATTGTGAAATTTTGTTATCAGTTTGTTTATTTAGCATACATTTAAGTCCATTCTGTTTTAATGGGATTGCTATGTCGGCTGCAATAAAATAATTGCACCGCAAGATTGAGTCGGCGTGGCATTTTGATAAAGTCAAAGTAGATAGGTCCACTGACGTATGTTCTATATTTAGCGTAAACGTGTAGTACTACGCTTTTTTTTATTTTATCATATGTACCGATATAATGAAACGTTAGACGTGCAAATCACATAATTACAGCATAAAAATGAATAAGCGGCGTATAAAAATATCAGAACTTCATGAAGAGAATATACTATTAAGCTAGAACTACTTTTAGAATGGAAGAATATTGCGTTAATTGGCTATGTGTGGGCGTTGTTATTTATCCATTTCTCGTGATCTTGACCTCGCCGAGTTGAAGCTGGCATACAATAAGCCACCATACAATAGATCGTTTAGCATACAATTAAGCATCCCAAGTTTAGCCTGCCAAGATGGATCGCTGCGTGCAGTATGGGATTAAGATATTATAAACAGATAAAAACAACATCAACATGCATTGCACGTAAACTTAAAGTTGCAATTGCAAATTTTCAAGTTATATTTTTAAAATGTATTAAAATAAAGCCTTAAAATAGATGGTATCCATAAACAGTCCTACCTTGTTAAATATTAATCCTATAATTCGCTATTGCCAGCTGAGAAATTGGCAAAAATATCATTTTTAACTTCAAATCCCAACGTTGGAAAATGGCTTCCCCATGTTGTCAATAGCAAAACAGGGGAGGTAATTATGTTGTTATTTTCTGTGTCATAGATTTTTAAGGGTGGGAAATAATGCCCATGATCGTATAATAGTGATTTGATAACCTATTAAGCAAAAGACATAGAAATAATTATGTTTTGACTTTCTTAGAAAATTTGAAATTCTCGCTTTAACATTTAATAAATAAATAATCTCATTTATATTACACTACACATTGGGTTTGTCACACCTGGTCATGAAGAATCAAGGATGACATCAAATAAAAGCACACATTATGTGTTAAGCCGCAGACACGTTTATACACCTGAGAGACAATGACATGAAATCGGTATTTTTCAGAAGAGGTTATGATATAACAATAAGTTTTAGAAGTATACAAACTGGGAAGAACTGTATGATATTATAAGGAAGACTATTCCAAAGCTTCTGATCACTATAGTGAAAAGATTTTTTTACCACGAGATTTAACATTAGTTACTTTTATTGACAACTGACTAGATCTAGTAAAGTGTTTATGAACATCATTAGTGAACATTAATTTGTCTGTCCATGGACCTTATAATCCCATGGTCTGTCAAGTACCTATAGGGGCCAGACCATTTACTATACGTAAATAATGGTTTAATTTTATTTGATTTACCCTTAAATGGACCTTCGAGGAATTCATCACTTCCAACATGGGAACGATTACTTAAATTTAAAACAAATCTTATAACTTCTTCTTTGTTATTTCTGATAGACTGGAATACCAGAAAGAACAGGCATAATCGAAATGACATTGGACTAAAGCAGAAATTAGTAATTTCTTAGCATGTAAAGACAAAAATTTACTCTTTCTATACATGAATTTTAGTTTACAGTTTGCTTTTTTGATTAGCCTTCTACCCATACCCCCATCCTTGCCCCACTGACTACAGGCCTGTTGCAGACTACCTTTATACTAGAATGTTCCTTTAATTTTGATTTAGTACCAAAAATAATGGACTCAGTCTTGCCTAAATGTAGTGATAATTTATTATCACATAACCACTAACTGAGTTTTGAGAGGTTGCTACTAAGTTTATTTTCAATTTCCTCTGTTCCTACTTGAAACAATTAGGGTAGAATCATCTACATACAACAGCAGCAGTCTACAAGGCACCGACGCTTGCATATCATTAACACACAAGAGGAATAAAAGGGGTCCAAGTATTGACCCTTGGGGCACCCCACATGATATATTAGAGTAACTGGAATGAATACCATTTACATCAACCGTCTAGCTCCCCCCAGTTAAACATACATTAAGCAAGAGCTAAATCTGCCAATTGCAGGCCTTTCTTTGGGCCTGAAATGTTATCTAAATTATTATTTAGACATTAATTAACTTATCCAGACCATATTCAACACTCGATGGCATCGCTAGCCTGCGATATTTACTGGATTATGATCCCATTTGCTGCTCGGCTTCCATTCATAATTTAATCATGAAATGGATGATCGAGACTATGTTTTTTTATCGTACAGACTTTAGTAATGATGATCGAGGCTAGGTCAACATTTCAATCGCTTAATTCTCGGTTCATAGTGGATCAATGTGGCTGAAATTGTCAGTAAATTGCCTTTAAATTATCTAGTTTTTTTTTTATTACAGTGAGAACTGCCAGCTCTTTATCCTATCTCCCATAATGTATCTTTAAGTAAGAGTGAAACCATCCAACTGACATTTTGTCCATACCCATTGCTACTCTGTCGAGTAGTGTCGGTCGAGTACCCCGGCCTAAAACCAGATTGGTGCTCAAACAGGAGTTTTTTCTTTATTAAATAGGACTCCACTTGTTCATAAAAAAACCTTTTTCTAGTACGTTTGACACCACATTCAAAATTGACACAGGTCTGTAATTACCAGGTGTTGTTTTATCACTTTTTTATACAGAGGGACAACCCGGGCAGATTTTAGATCATCGGGCACATTGCCTGTTTGTATGGACAAGTTAATTATGTAAGTGATTGGTTTCACAATTGACTTTACACTATCCTTTAAAAAATTTGCAGGAGGGCAGTCGAGACCTGTTGCTTTTTTAGAATTTTGATCAATTAACATTTTTGAGATGTTCTCTTGAGAGACACTCTAAGGAGAACTCAGATTGCTGAACATCTTTGTTTTTGTAAAACTTATTGAAGAACTTAGAGTTGTATATGCCCGGACCTGTAGGTAATTTTGAAACCAAAGAAGATGCCACAGAGGTAAAAAAAACGAATTAAAACATTCGGCCTCTGACTTATTGTCAAAAATTTGATCTTCATTTAGAAGGTGTGTCGAGTTTCTTTAGAGCCCTAGAGCCCCCCCCCCCCCCCCGACCCTTTGGGTTGTTTTTATTTTCGGTTATCTATTCTTTAAAATAAGAGGATTTTTGTATTTTGTTTCTCAAACTTTTAAACTCAACAAGATCTGAGTTGTCCTTAGACTTTTAAGTCTTTTCAGAGCTGTATCGTGAATACATTTTAGAATATCATTAGTAATTTAGACCTCAGTTCTTTGTTTAATTCTAACTTGTTTACTAGGCGCGACTGGGCCGGGTCTACAGTAGGCCTACCTTTATATACACTCTTAAACATTAACCAAACATTATTTTTACATTAGTACAGGAGGTAACTTCATTCCAATCAATTTTGTCCAACTTTTCACAGAAAACTTGTTTATCAGAGTTTTGGGATGATCTGATTGTAATTGTGTTATGTTCATCAAAGTGCCCCTTACTAACTTTCTGGGTACAAAAAATGGCATTATTTATTATTAGTAGTATGTCTATGCGATTAGCCCATACCGATGGTCATCCAGCGCGAGTTCCTTTTATTGTATGCTGATTTGATTCGCCCTTATTGTATGTCAGCGGTATGGTATGGTGGCTTATTGTATGCCAGTTTGATCGCAGCTTATGACCGCGACCTAGTTGTGGAGAAGAGAATATAAATTACGATATTGTAACTGTTTAGTAATTTACCAGTTATTAACACACAGTTAGGTGTCGATTATTTCTTTAAGAAGATGGCATTCGCGCAACCCCCAGTTGTCAACCCGGTAAGTACATTGTATTAATTAGTTAAGGATGTATATCAATTCATATCTTTATTTTATTTTGTGGGAGTCTACTTTCACTTTCTATTAAGTGTCATGCCGAGTTGAATTTAGTCATGGATCTTGCAATTGGGTCCATGATTCATCCAACAGAAATGGTCTGTTGAATGCATAACTACGTCTAAGGTTAGCTTGATTACGAATTTATAGTTTATGCAAATATCAGGTCTAGGCTAATTATATTGGAACCATTACCGGTACATTATTTAGGAAGATAATTCTGATACGAAGTTACTTCCTTGTAAAATTGCCACATTTACATTGTCTCTAGATCAAATCTATCATAATAAAACTTAGGTTGCCTGTCTACAGTTAGCTCCACTTGGGAACAGGCACTAAGCTAGTTGACTGACATTTTAAAGGAGCTAAATCGCTAATATTTGCGACCTAGAAATTGACCCAAATATAATAATGTAATCTGATTGTATATAAACTGATTTACATTCAATTGTTTCCGTTTTGACTCTAATTTCAAATCAGTTATATCCAGCGAATTACAGCATGTGTCTTAACCCTATAGCAATTTCTAGCGGCTGGTTATTCCAGTCTATTGAGCAGACTCTCTAGTTTAATATGTCTAACCTTGTTCTTGCTGGTCACTTAATTGTTGCAAATGACGCTAAAACGCACTATGGTACACGATTCGTGTACCAATGGTAAAATGTTTATTTTGTCTTAAATATTGGAAATTAGAAGTCCACATTTTCCCGGTAAGGTCACAACATCAATGTTGATTTGAATTGACAAATAATTCGTATTTTCAACGTGTAAGACTTTGGATGATATTCAGTTAGAGACTTTAAGTCCTAAATCGACAATTTTAGTCGAAAACACAAGTATACTTCAAGAATTTGTTGAGTATTTATTCTGCTTCCATTTAATAAAATTGAAAAAGTTTATTTAGTCTTTGTATGTATGACAGATGTGAAACGGAGTAGAAACGCGTTACAAAACAGTATACTAATTTTTGTATATGGCAACCATTTAGGGCAGAGATCTATTCTTGAGGAATGAAGTAGATTGATCTCTGTGTGCAGAATGTGGATCGATTTATCTACAAAGTTTTCTTTCCTTCCAACTCATTAAAATTGTAGATGGTCTACATCTTATTTTTAATAGCTTTTGTACGTTACTCAAATAGAAAATTGATTAAATTGTTCAGAAATGTAATTCATTTCAATCCAAGCCAAAAACCAGAGAAATAGTGATTGAAAATCTTATTTACGAAGATTTAAATGTATTAAGATGACTTTCACTGGAAATGTTGACGAGACAAAATGAAGTTGAAATGTGATTTTTGGCATTATTGTCGACAGGACATTTACCTACATCAGAAAATCAACAAGAACCCACTCACTATGGCCATGGTTGCCAGCCATGTAACAACTTTCAGTGAAATGTAGGCACATAGGATAAGTCAGTAATGTGTGGGTCCACTGCTAGCACAATTTTGCCAAAACATCGCACCAGGAGAGGAGATAGCTTCTAAATGGCTGTTCATGGATCATTTTCCACTGTTCTTGCAATGCTGCTTCCAGTGGCTCTGATGCTCATGTCCACTTTAATTAATGCAATGACACAATCTAAGTGTTCAGGTGTCAACCATAACATATCGCTGTGTCTACGATACCCTAACTTTTTAATAAAAAAAAACACCTTTTATACCACATGGATGTACCAACATTCCCCATTTGTCATATTCAATTTCTGTGTGTTTGAGAGAATTAATCTCTGTGTGGATGCCATCTTATTTGTTATCATCTCTTAATCAGATGTTGTTACATTCAGATTCAGAATTGCAAAATTAAAGTGTATATCTGTCAAATGAGAATAGATATCATCCATTTAAAGAAGTGGTCCATTTTCATTGCGTCTCAGTGTATTACACTTAAACATAGAAGAATATGATTACTAAGTACAGTGTATTACACTTCATATTAATATTTAATCTACAACTAGTACCTAACAAAATACAAACACAAAATTTGCATAAAATTAGAAGAAAGGGGCAGATACATGATTATTGAAAAGTGGGCTCTGAAAAGAAATTTTATAATCTTTTCTCATGTTTCATATTTATAAGTATATATGACAAAAAAAAAAGGGGGCACGATGCAAAACAATTTTTTTAAAATAATAGTTTCTTTTTTCGACTAGTCCAGAAGAGTTGTGCAAATGTAGTGTTTGGAGAACCTTAGTAAAGCATACTGTAAATAAATGAAGAACTGAGATATTGCAAGTTTATACTATAATAGACAATCGACTAATAAATTGATAAAGAGAATATAGTAAACAATCATAAGAAGCCTTTCTAATGTAGTGAAAGCATATTTTAAAAAAGGGTGCCTTGTTGTACACAAAATAAACATATAATGGTACCACCAATGATCTAAAAGATATAAAAATCAAGTTAGTTTTTCTTTATAATAATCTGTGACAACTCAACAGTCTGGTAGATCTATTCTTTATGTTTATAGGGTACAAATTCCTCTAGTTCAAAGGTCAGTTATATTAAAGTATAGGTACCTGACTAGAGCAGTAACAAGTAAATGATAATTTGAACTGGATAAGTTTCAAGATAGTTTTAATCTCTTTAGATATGATGTGCCCGTTGATAAGATTAAGATGTTGAGGGACAAAGATTGATATTGAGCAATATAAGTTTAATATCCATAGACATACAATAGCCTAATAAATTCTGTCCTTCATAAAGACTCGTATTTCAGTTGTGATCTTCAACAATATGAAGTCGAGTATAATCTTACCTTGTAATCAGACACAACAGAAAGCTACATTATGTCAAGTTGTCCTTTATGATCTGTAAAAGATAGGCCTAAGCATGTTCAAATGTTCTAATCTTGTTTAAGATAAAGCAAGAAAGAGGTACAAAAGATAAATTAATGATATATTATTGTTAAATCCAACATATTGAAATAAACCAATTTTATTATATTCCCAAAGCAGACATGTATTGTCACCAATTCGAATGGGTTTCGTGGTCGAATGGTTAACGCGTGCATGTTGAAGACCCCTACGCACAAGCGAATTATTGAAATAAAAATTTAAAAATATATGTTAGTCCCGAAATGACCTAGTTTATGTCAAGTGGCCTTAAACCCCATTTTTCTCTCTTTCGAATTATGAATGCTGTTCGTTGAATTATTGCATTTGATGTAAACATAATAGGTTAAAAATAGCTTATGAAAGCATTAGCTAACATTTTTTTTTATCTGGTTTTGATGTAACTGGCTCATGAAATCATGGACAAGTTCAAATTTGAATGAGGTTCATTAAAGAATGTGTAACATTATTGCGATTATTGAGTATTACGTCTGGTTGACAGAGAGTAAAGCACTTTTGGCCAATGAAATTGTCAGTTATGAAGGAGAGGTAATTTTCTCTGTCTGAAATGTCTTTTTGGTTAAATCAATGCGATTAAAGATACATTATGGGAGATTTTAATAGAGAGTTGGCCATTCTTGCTATAACAGTTCAAAAATAGATGATGAAAGAAGAATATATTGAAAATTTCAGTCAAATTACTTTATTCTGAACAAAGTTATCACTATTGTAATTTTTGACTAGAAATAGGAGTCAACTCTCACTTCACCTACATAATCTCGATTATCAAGTAATGTTTTCAATGACTGTGGTTTGAGACGGGGTTGCAATTCAATTCGTATCACATTTATTTTTACTACAAATTAAAAATAAGACTTTTAATATATAGATAAGAAGCGAAAGTTTGAAAGGAATGGACCAAATCAATGAGGCATAATTATAGCCGACTTCTTGTTAGCCTGCGTGTACTCTTGTACTGTAACTGGTAGGCCTACGTAACTCCCAAACAGTGCAATTCAACTGGGGTGATGTTAGCTGCGATGTTTATCAATTTCTATAATTTTTCTGTAAACGCAAGTGACAAAAGGGCGTATAATACCGACATCCAAACTCTCATTTTAACCACAACTAAACATAATATCAAGGCCGTATATATCAAACTTTCAATCAAATTGACTGACATGCGGCCTCGCTTTGTACAATCTATCATTAAGCCTTGATCTAAAATTATTTCCGGGAGTATGACGTCAACGTAACGGTTAATTTCCGCTTACGACGCCATTTAAAAATTTAATCAATCAACAAATTCCTGTTTAAATCCAAGCCAAATCCAAGCCATCCGTGGGTCTACAGAGTTGATTTTATGCTTGTTGTGTAAATAAAGATCTAATTTATAATTTCTATGACATCTGAAGCCTAAATAAAGACTTGCAATAATCTGATTTACAGTATATTTATGTGGTGGAAACGGTTTTATTAGAAAGTACAATGGTCTAAGAGAACACACAAGTGATCAGTTGCTCTGGTCAAACAGAGTTGATAGTAGAGAAAATTAAAGAGAAAGACACATGATATATAAACCTTTCATTTCTTAGCTTTTTGGACTAATTGAGAAAAGGTTTTAGATGTTGTTTTTCCTTGAATTTGATGATCTCCGTTATTTGAATATGAGCATAACAGACTTTCGGCATAATACTTAACTAGTGTTACTTGTGAAAAAAATCTTCCATTTTATAAGTGCCAGTGCTTCAAACATTTATCTCTACTCATATGAGAGCTGACTGTAAAGTTCAAAGTCAGAAAAGGATAGGTCAGTTGGGTTGAAACAAACTTTTGCCACCATCAAGTACAATCATTGAATGAATCGTAGGCATAAGAACTGCAACTGTAGTGTGTTTATTGTCTTTGTGAACCTACCCATTGAAACAGGTATTACATGAATTTTTGATATTTTTAATATTTTATTTATACACTAAAACCAATAACAATATGTCAATGATATTTTATCATGAATAGTGTCAAACTTGTTCCTTTTAACATGAATAGTGTCCAACTTCTTCCTTTGCATACGCTTTAGCTTATTTTCCGAATCCACACCAATTCTCGACACCAATTTGATTAAAATTATATCGCTTTCAATCGAGCGATGCTCATAGCAAAACTTTCAACTTGTAATATAGTCATTTTCATGCATGTTGGTTTCACTGTAACAGGATTGCCTGTTATAGAACAGATCAAAGAATAAAATTGCACGTAGCCACTATTTCGATAGGTGTTATCTTCAGATGTTCAGACTACCTGGCACCTCAAATAACCCAATGTTAAAAAAAAACATGCAATGTCCACCTTACAACTGGTTCCATTGATTTATTTTATAATTTATCATACAGTTTAGACCACAATGTGTTACTATTCGCATTTTGGAATTCTAAATTGATTCTTATTCGAAATTCTTATATTTGGAGTTGTTTATTTCCATTTTGTGTACGGAAATTAAAACAACGATTAGTTTTAAAATTAATTATGGTTTCGAAATAATATCAATCTAATTTGTCTTATTTAAAAGGGGCTCCTGGGCAATTTAGTTGATTATTGGGTAATACGTAGAGTCCCTGATTTATTTTGGCGAGTAATTAAGCTGTCACTATGTAATTATAAAAAAAATACCTTTTTATATAAAAGATAAATGATGTTAGACATCATAAACCAACAAACAATACGAGTATACTTTATTACAAAACATCGGTGAACTAATCTAAAATCATATTGGCAATTAACTAACAATACAAATATACTTTACCACAAAAACATTGGTGAACTGACCTAAAATCTAAAATCAGAACGGCAATTAACAAACAATACGAATATACAGCGGTGAACTAATCTTGGTCGTGATTGGTAATCAACAAAAATCGACCAGTAAAAATAAATTATTCCCTACATTATTGTTTTTTTAACGATAAGTAAGTGTTTAACAGTTTATTTAACAATAATTACAACTCAGTTAATTAACTGCTATTATCAAAACAAGGGGGATGAAACCGACCGGGATGAAACAGCCCGATAAAAAAATAAGTTGGGATGAAACAGCCCAAGGTGAAACGGTTGTGGGATGAACTGACCTGCAACCCATGCCGACATGGTCTCCACTTTAGGGGATGATGCCCCTTCTTTTACCACAGTAAAAAAAAGTGGGCTGCGGAATTTAAGCGTGGCAGAGAGAGACAGAGTCTTGATGATGACCCGCGTCCTGGAAGACCATCAACAGCAACCATTCAAGAAAACATTACCTGGGTGCATGACATAGTGATGGCTGATCGTCGATTGACCACTCGACATATTGCCAGTGTTGTGGGCATCTCTTACGAAAGGGTTGAGCACATTATCGCCAACGACTCAGGAGTGACAAAGGTTTCTGCAAGATGGGTGCCAAAGCCGTTGACTGTGGATCAGAAACATGTCAGATTCCTGACGTCCCACATCTTCAATAGGGCTTGATCTCGCTTTAACTACGTACATACCCTGCATATTTTAGCACTAATTTCGATTGGGTACTACAAGCCCAGCTTGTGAGCCTATCAGATTCCTCTGTCGTCGCGAATACCAAGTCTTGCGCTTTCAAGCTAAAATGTCTACCTTTGATAATCGAGTTGCAAAGTTCAAGGTTCGGTCAATGTCAATGTTTCCGTGGAGGTTGCTATGTCACAACCTCTGATTGGATGCTACTGTTCATGTGTCTGTAGATAACGTAGCTATAAGTTCGGGAATTGTGAAGTAATCTAGCAACATTTAGATGTTGTAAAATTCGCAGTCGTTGCTTCAGGAACATGGGCTTCCCGTGATAATTTTTAGGCCACTAAAAGGAACTAGCCAGTCGTCATTTTTTTTAGTTATGATACATGTCAGCTGTGAACAACCCTTTTAGGGTGGCCGAAAAAAATGACTTCCTAACCGCCATCCAGGCCTTCCAAAATCGTTGGCAAAAGTGTGTACACCTCCAAGGGGATTAATGGAAAAATAAATGGAACCATTGACTTTGTACAGGTCTTTCACAGCTAGGCTTAGAACTTTTCAGCCAGCCCTCGTATATACATGTATGTAACGTATTGTCAAAACTGTTTAGTGGGTTTGAAATGTGTCAGGAATTGTCTTCATAGTCGATTAAGCTTACTAAATAATTTCAATTTATAAGACAGATCAATTGCACTGTAAATATTAATATATACACACATTCCATTTTGTATTGACTGTTAAGAATTCATATATTTATATTGCAGCCTATTCCATATGTTGGTCCTGTACGATTATCAGAGGGCTTAACAATAGCAGTTCAAGGAAAAGTTTCACATCATCATAACTCGTAAGTATTACATGACCTTCTATATATATATATATATATATATATATATATATATATATATATATATATATATATATATATATATATAATATATATATATATATATATATATATATAATGAATCCCAACTCTCAAATGTAATGGCTTGGCACAACATGAGCAAGATTTCATAAATTACAATACCAGCAGTCAAATGAAAATTAGATCTGGGTTTCTCTTTTGATTCCGGTGTAGAGGGTTTATGAGAAGTTGTCAATGGATGACATATCTGGTGACAAGTAATTTAATTATATATTTGGAGCCATGGTGGCTAAGTGAGTAAGACACTGGCTCACTAGCCTGGAGGTCGCGGGTTCGCTCCCTGTGTTGGCTGAGAAAGTTCATCAGGATTTTCCGGCATGGTTTCCCCTTGTCAGTGGTGCAGGACAGAGGGCCTGACAAGGACAGCTGTCAAGTCATTCAGATGAGACGAAAAATTGAGGTCCTGTGTAGTAGTGTACACATTGGCGTGCACGTAAAACATCCCTTGGCAGTTAGAATTCGATATAAGGGTAGCCCATAGCCCCGCTGTCTGGGCGAAATTTCCCTCATAGCACACTGCATGGTGTATGCCTGTCTTCATTAGCCCAGAGGGAGCATTTAATTATATATTTAAAAAAAGCTATGAGTACAGTCACAAAAGTACAGTCTAAGTTTATAGAATCCATTGTACATTTATATAATGCCCAAAGATGACATATTGAAAGGATTTTAATTTTCTCCAGATTCAGCATCAACTTTACAAAATCTCCAACCAGTTCAGATCTACATGATGCAGCTCTTCATTTTAATCCACGATTTAATGAAGGATGTATTGTGAGAAACTCACAGGATTGTGGTAACTGGTGCTCAGAAGAAAGACATGGAGGTCTTCCACTACAGAAAGGTGTTCCTTTTGAAATAACATTTTGCATTCACCGACATCATTACAAAGTAAGTTCAAACCCGGAAGATTTCTTTGGAGTAAAGTGTTAAAGTAGGCATTGACGAGTAAACCTACCATAACGTAGAACCTGCGACAAGGGTTCTTAAACTACTGTATACCTTAAATACGAATTCTGAATCCTTTTCTTGTGGTCACATCATCACGTGGAGATTTAAATTGGTATTATCTTAATTTAAAGTAGCTACATGTAAGTCACTAACTCAATATCGTCCAAAGTCTTCAACATTGAAAACACGAATTAATGTCAATTTAAATCAATGTTGATGTGATCGCCCCTGTCCGTCCGTCCGTCCACAATTGTTCGTGAACAGTCTACAGGTCACAATTTTTATCCGATTTCAATGAAACTTGAAATATAGGTTTATCACCCGAAGATCTTGGTTCCTTTCGATATTGGCATGTATCGGACTGTAACTTCAGGGATTATGGCCCCTGATTGTACGAAAAATCTCGTTTTTAGCTTGTGAACACTGTAGAGGTCACAATTTTTATTCGATTTGGTTTAAACTTGAAATGTATGCTTATAACCCAAAGATCTCGGTTTCTTTCGATATTCGTAATTGTACAAAAAATCACGTTTTTAGCCTGTGTACCAATAGAGGTCATAAATTTTATCCGATTTAAAAAAACCTATCATTATATCACCGTTAAACCCTAAGGACGGCTAAGTTCGAATTTCGTGAAAATCGGCCCAAAACTGACAGACAAAATGGCCGCCGCTCGTTCTCTAATAGCGTAAAAATATGGTATATCAAGGTTGTGGACCCTATAGAGGTCACAATTTTTATCTGATTTTGTTGAAACTTGAAATGTAAGTTTATAACCCAAAGATCTTGGTTCCTTTCGATATTCGCACACATCAGACCGTAACTTCCTGAATTATGGCCCCTGATTGTACGAAAAATCGCGATTTTAGCTTTTGGACCCTATAGAGGTCATAATTTTTATCCGATTTAAAAAAACGTACTATGATATCACCGTTACACCCTAAGGACGACTGAGTTCGAATCTCGTGAAAATCGCCCCAAAACTGACAGACAAAATGGCCGCCCTTCGTTCTCAAATAGCATAAAAATATGGTATATCAAGGTTGTGGACCCTATAGAGGTCACAATTTTTATCCGATTTTGTTGAAACTTGAAATATAAGTTTATAACCCAAAGATCTTGGTTCCTTTCAATATATCGGGGGAGGGGGGATGGATGGCCGAATGGTTAGCACGTGCGTGCTGTATCATAAGACCTGTCATTGAGTCAACTGGCGTGGTTTCGATTCCCCGGTTGTACGTGACAAGGAGTAGGGTCGCCTGTCCAACCTTGTGGGTTTTCTCCGGGTCCTCCTGTTTCCTCCCACTACTAAAGACCCCTACGCGCAAGCGAATTATTGAAATAAAATTAAACCATATGTTTGTCCCAAAATGACCTAGTTTGTGTCGAGTGGACGTTAAACCCCATTTCTCTCTCTCTCTCCTTTCGATATATCGGACCGTAACTTCCTGAATTATGGCCCCTGATTGTACGAAAAATCAAGTTTTTAGCTTGTGGACCCTATAGAGGTCATTATTTTTATCCGATTTAAAAAAACATATTATTATATCACCGTTGCGCCCTAAGGACGTTGAATTCGAATTTCGTGAAAATCGGCCCAAAACTGACAGACAAAATGCCGCCCCTCGTTCTCAAATAGCATAAAAATATGGTATATCAAGGTTGTGGACCCTATAGAGGTCACAATTTTTATCCGATTTTTCTTAAAACTTGAAATGTTAGGTTATAACCCAAAGATCTTGGTTCCTTTTGATATTTCCTGAATTATGGCCCTTGATCGTAGAAAAAATCACTTTCTTTTTAGCTTGTTCTCTATCCATCTCTCGAAAATTTGGCCGTATCCTGCCTGGCAGCCGCTGGTTTTAAGTTTTCATTGCGAGTTCTTTCCCTTGAACAAAATGGCCTCCCTACGCTATTTTTTTTTAGCATAGAACGATTAAAAGGTCCATTTGCCCCCAAGAGAATATTTAAATCATAATCTAGACTCTGATACATTTTAAACAATTATCCAAGAATTCCATCCACCAATCTATTCGTGCTTCATGTTCCTCGGCGCCGACTCAACCTAACATAAAATTGAAGATTTATTTCGCACAGAATATTTATGCTAGTTGCTACGGTAGATTTACGGTACTACAGTACTACTAGATCTAACAATGTAGAGCATTAAAAAAAAACCAAAAAAAAAAAAAAAACCTACCTACCGACCCTACCCTATTTTCCATCCGTTACAGGAAACAGAATCCTTTTTTTCCCCCGCCTTTGGAAAAAAGCAGGGGACTATTAAAATGGGTTCGTCTGTCTGTCTGTCCGTCCGTCACACTTTTTGGAACACAATAACTCTCCTTCTAATTGACCTAGAATGTTCAAACTTGGTGTAGGTGTTTATTAGGTCAATACCTTGATGGACTTCGAAGAAGAGCATTTTCTGCTTAGAGTAAGCAGAGATAAGCAATTTGATTGGTTGATGCTTTGGGACATGATAACTTTAGTTCTAATTAAGTGAGAGTGATGAAACTTGGTGTATAGTTTCATTACGTCAATACCTTGACTAAGTTCGATAATGAGCATTTTCTGCTCAGGGTAAGCGGAGCGATAAGCAATTTGATTGGCCGAGACTTTGGAACACAATAACTCTCCTTCTAATTGAGCTAAAATGTTCAAACTTGGTGTAGGTGTTTATGAGGTCAATACCTTGATAGAGTGTGAAAATGAGCATTTTCTGCTTATGGTAAGTAGAGATAAGCAATTTGATTGGTTGATGCTTTGGGACACGATAACTTTAGTTCTAATTAAGTGAGATTGATGAAGCTTGGTGTATAGTTTCATTACATCAACACCTTGACTAAGTTCAATGATGAGAATTGTCTGCTTAGGCTAAGGAACAATAAGCATTTTGATTGGTTAAGACTTTGGAACATAACAACTCTGCTTCTAATTGAGGTAGAATGTTTAAACTTGATGTAGATGTTTGTCTTGACTGAGTTCAATGATTAACATATCAAGCTAAAGCTAAGCAGAGATAAGCAATTTCCTTGGTCGATGCTTTGGGACAAGATAACTTTGATTCTATCAGATAGAGAGTGATGAAACTTAGTGTATAGTTGATAATCAGTTTGATTGCTCGATACTTTTGAAAAAAATAGATGTGCGATTAATTAAAGATACATTATGGGAGATAAGATAAAGAGATGGCAGTTCTCGCTATAATAGTTAAAAACTAGATAGTGTAAAGGTAATTTGCTGAAAATTTCAGTCAAATTGATCCACACTATGAGCCGAGAAAGAAGCGGGTGAAATTTTTGCATAGTCTCGGTCATCATTACTAAAATCATTAATATAAACAGCATAGTCTCGATTATCCACTTTTTCTGATTTAATTATCAATATCCGTTAGCGGCATATAGGGATCTAATCCAGCCAACATCGAAGGCTAGCCTTGACATCGAGAGTTTATTATGGTCTGGATAAGTTAATTAATGTCTAATTGATAATTTAGATAACATTTCAGGCCTAAAAAAAGACTTGTAATAAGCAGATTTTGCTCTTGCATAATGCATGTTTAATATGTGTCATCTATTTATTTGGGGATTTCGGCGGGGGACATCAGTCTCAGTTGGCTTGTTTTTTTTGGGCCTAAGACATAAACTTATTATTTATTAAAGTAAAACAATCAATGAAAATCAAAATTACGCAGTTACTCTTCACTTAATGTCATCAAAGTTAGTCATAATCATCATCACTGTCACTACATGTATAAACATCAAATTCGGTTTCTTTAACAGTCTTTTTGTTTCATTTTCACATTTACTACACTTAACACAGATTAGATATGTACATGTACATGACAACTCCGATGTGGTTTCCCTCTGTCGGTGGTACGGGATGGGAGGGGACTGGAAGAACAATGCCCAGTCGTGCGGATGGGAGAGAAAACACAATAGTTTAAACAATATTTGATTCAAAAGGCAAGGGGTTACATGGGCATAGGGGGCAAATCTGAGTTGGGAAGGGGGTGGGGGGACTGAGGATATTTGCCCGAAAATTTTCTTTGTCACCCGAATTTTCTGAATGCATCAATCATTAACTAAAACAAATTTTCCACAAAGCTGTGATGGTTGTTTATTTTTAATTAATTATACAATTATATTTCCATGATATATGGTCGCATTCTCCATTCTCTGATATTTGTGCCCCAAAAACTGAAGGGGCTGGGGCAATCTGATTTCATTTTTATGGTTCAAAATTTCGTTTTACTTGTCTTTATTACACTAGGATCTGGAAGAGTTGTTATGTAACAGACGTTCTACTTGATGTGAGAAATTAGCCAATGAAATGGTCTGTTACGGCAAGTTCTTGGCCTTTTTATGCACAGAACTGTGGGTAAACCACTAGAAACATTGATTAATCAGGGTCAAAAGCCGCTCGTTTGACCCCTGACATGAACTCCCACTATAACTTGTCAGATCTTCATGTATAAAAAACAAACGAAATATAGTGGGGCTAGGGGGCATATAGGTTCTTCCAAAACAATAATTCTACTAATATATCTGTAAACCTTTAGTTTAGATGAGATTTGAGGTTAAATTCCTTGCAAATATTTGAAATGAAACAAAGCATCTTTTAATATTTAATTTTCTCACTAAAATAGATACATGTACATGGCAAAACCTAAATAATACTGTAAAGTAGTGGCAATTGTAATGAAGAGAAAAAAAATCAAATGGGAGTTTAATGCCTAACTGTTCGGTATCAACTGGGATAATGAAGATGTACATACGCCACGCATCATGCTATTTGGAGAATTTGGTCCCAACAGTGACGTTACGGTCTTCTCTTTATTTCTAATTTCAAGTTCTTTTACATGTACGTGCACATTACCTCAGTTTTATATTCCATTCAAATAACTAGATGCTGTCCATCACGGTTACCCCCCTTCCTGCACCACTGGCAATGGAGAGAGAGAGAGAGAGAGAAATGGGGTTTAACGTCCACTCGACACAAACATGGTCATTTCGGGACTAACATATGGTTTAATTTTATTTCAATAATTCGCTTGCGCGTAGGGGTCTTTAGCAGTGGGAGGAAACCGGAGGACCCAGAGAAAACCCACGAGGTTGGACACTGGCAATGGGAAACAATGCTGGATAGTTTGGGGAACTGTTTAGGTCAACACAGGGATCAAACCCACAGATCTCCTGATTAGTGAGCCACTGACAAAAGGAAACCAAGCCAGACCAGGATCAAACCCGGGACCGCCCGGGACCACCCGGTAAGTGATTCAGTTCCTTACTGAGTCACCAAGGCTCCCTTGCACACTGATGACATTTGCATTGAAAGCAGGAATACTACGTGATGTTTTCCCCCCCTTCCCCTCCCACCGAACTAAAATGAAAATGTATGGTGTTCTCATCTTCATTATACAGGTTAGTGCAGAACAGTAAGACATTAAACTTCATTTGATTTCTGTAGATGCTGTTTCAGTTTAAATATTTATTAGAACTTTAGCCTCAAATCCTATCTCAAAAAGGGGGGTTGGATGGCCGAATGGTTAGCACGCTCGTGCTGTATCATACGGTCTTTCATTAAGTCAACTGGCGGGGTTTCAATTCCCCGGTTGTACGTGACAAGGAGTAGGGTCGCCTGTCCAACATTGTCGGTTTTCTCTGGGTCCTCCGGTTTCCTCCCACTGCTAAAAGATCCCTACGCGCAAGCGAATTATTGAAATAAAAAAATTAAACCATATGTTAGTCCCAAAATGACCTAGTTTGTGTCGAATGGACGTTAAATCCCATTTTTCTCTCTCTCTCTATCTGAAAAAAGGTTGAACTTATTTAGGCCCTTGTCTGTAGTTAAATCCTATTCAGTTTATCGAATAAACTCTTTTAACAAAATACTGTTATCAATAACTATTGATTTTTATACGCCCACATTTTCATGTGGACGTATATTGTTGTCGCCCTTGTCCGTCTGTCTGTCTACAATTTGATTGTAGACACTCCTCTACAGGTCACAATTCTTATCCGATTTTGACGAAACTTGAAATGTAGGTTTATTTCCAAAAGATCTCAGGTCCTTTCGACATTGGGATATATTGGATCGAAACTTCATGGATTATGTCCCCTGATTGCACGAAAAATCACGTTTTTAGCTTGTGGACACTCTAGAGGTCACAATTTTGATCTGATTTTGATGGAACTTGAAATGCATGTTTATAACCCAAAAGATCTTGATTGTAACTTCCTGAATTATGGCCCCTGATTGTAAGAAAAATCACATTTTTTGCTTGTGGTCCCGCTAGAGGTCACAATTATTATCGTATGCAAATAGTGTAAACATCTGGTATATCAAGGTTGAGGACCCTCTAAAGGGCACAATTTTGATCCGATTTTGATGAAACTTGAAATACATGTTTATTATAACCCACAGATCTTGGTTCCTCTTGATATTTGCGCATATTGGATCTTAACTTCCTGAATTATGGCCCTTGATTGTACAAAATTTAGAGGTCACAATTTTTATCTGATTTAAAAAAAAAAACGTGTGAATATATCACCGTTACACACTAAGATATTGGTTCCTTTTGATAATTGCACATATTTGAACATAACTTCCTGTATTATGAACCCTGATTGTTCGAAAATTCGCATTTTTAGCTTGCGGATTCTCTAGAGGTCACGATTTTTTTTCCGATTTTAAATATATCACCATTCCACCATAATGAAGGTTGAATTCGAATTTCAGGAAAATTGAAATGAAACTACTCAACAAAATGGCCGCTCTTTGTACGCAAATTGTGTAAAAGTATGTAATACGAAGGTTGTGGACCCTCTAAAGGTCACAATTTTTATCCGATTTTGATGAAACTTGAAATGTATGTTCATAACCCAAAGATCTCAGTTCCTTTCGATATTCGTGCATATCAGACCATATCTTTCTAGATTATGGCCACTGATTGTACAAAAAATCACATTATTTTTTAATGTCAATGAGACGAAGAAGTCTATTGATTTTCAGCGATTTCCGATAATTACTGCTAGAGTTATGGCCCATGATGACTTCAAAAATTTTGATAACTTGAACAGCTAAATCCACAATATTAAATGTTTTGTATACTAAATGTTAGCATGGGGCTAATGATTTTCTGATTATTACTTAATGAGTTGTTACTCTTAATCAGATTTTAGTGTATTATAAATGGTTCATTACCGAAAAAAGTAAAATATGCGACAACTCTTGTTGATTGCCCGATCGAATTAGCTGCTGTGGGCGTATGTTTCGTTGCCTGGCAACCTATCTTTGTAAATGGATTTCCAAAATTCATTATGTTCCCTTATCCATAATGTTTGATGCATTCTGCTTTAAATCAAAATTTACCCAATAGCATATTCTTTGCATAGGATCAAGGGATCGGGTGTTTTCGCCAATCTTTAATTTTTATGTCAACTTCACAATTAGTATAAATATAGCATTTACTTGACAATTATCACAATTTTCATCTGACCCTAAATAGAGTTATTGCAAATGTTTTGCATGGAACTCTCTAGATTTGTGTTCCTGGTGTTAAAGCTTTCCAAAAATTTATAGTTTGTTTAGTAGGAAGGATCTTGTTGCGGAACTTCACAATAGAAATTTTGGCAGCATTCCTATATTGTTCGAATTCGAATATGACTGTTTACTGATGACAGTATTTTTCACATTTAATATTTTGTTACAGATATCTATAAATGGAAGACATTTTGCTGATTTTAAACATCGTATTCCAAAAGAACATATAAATTACATTGTTATCACACAAGGGGTGGAAGTCAGCTTTATTAAATTTGATGGACCTGGAGCAGTAAGTTTATTAAGCATTATTATCATTCTCAATTCAGAGTTTCCAGCACCCATCTTATTCCCATGTACGCTTAGCTTCCATTTTTATACGCCCGCATGGAAATGTGGTCGTATATTGTCGTCCCCCCATCCATTGTCCACAGTTTCTTATGAACACTCTACAGACTACATTTATCATCTGATTCCGTTAATTTCTTCTGCAGTTATATGGTCCCTGTTTCACTATATTGCTCCTTGTGAACGCTTTAACAACAAAAATTATCGTCCGATCTCTATGAAATTTATGTGCATCTTTTAAATTAGTGAAACGAAGAAGCTTATTGAATTTCAACAATTTCTGTTAACTACGTTAAAGAGTTTCGGCCGTTGTTTCATTTTGTTGAACCCTTTGAATGCTCTAACATCAAAAGTTTATCTTCCGATCTGAATGATATTTATATGCTTCATTTAAATTAGTGAAACGAAGAAGCCTATTGAATTTCAGCAATGTCTGTTGATTATATCTAGAGTTATGGCCCTTGCTTCACTTTGTTGAACTGTGTGAACGCTCGAATGATGAAAGGTATCGTCTGATCTGTATGAAATATATATCCAACATTTGCATTAGTGAAACGAAGAAGCCTGTTGAATATCAACAATTTCCAATTATCACTTCTCGAGTAATGGCCCTTGTTTTACTTTATTGAACATTATAAACGCTTGAAAAACAAGTCAGCATCTGATCTGTATGAAATTTATATGCATTATTTAAATGCCCCATTACCTGCAAAAAATGAAATGTGTGACAACCCTTGTTGGCCACCTGGACGATTTATCTGCTGTGGGTGTATGTTTCATTGCCTGGCTACCTATCTTTAGGAAAGGTAATTTGATCTAGTTTGGATAATAATCAAAATTTAAATAGTGAGCATCTATCAAGTTTAAAGACAAAGAGGCTGCCAGTCGCTATTTTAGGCCTGTTTTAATACTTCGAATTTGTGTCGGTATTACAATTTGAGTTTCTAAATGGCAGCACAATAATAACAATAAAACACAATTTGTCTATTGTGTTCATTGATGTATGCCTATGAATTTATGCAACAGTAATTTGTATACTTTGATAGGATTTATAGCTGGACTGGATCAGTTTGCCTACTTCTTCTCCCACACTGTCAATTCTATTTAGCAATATTAATTACTGGTAGTGAAATTATTTGTTCATCAACAAACGGACAAACAAAAAATGACAACAGGAAAACCTAAAAACATTTGTAAAAAAAAATGACATTGCACAGTCCTAACAGTTTTCTAGGACTATCAAAGACAACCCACACACAATACTTTCTGCACCTCCGTTGCAACCAACAAAGCATCTCACTCCTATGTTGTTTGGTATTTGTGTACCATCTGATTGACATATGGCTAAAATTAGCCCTGACTGCTGTTACTGATCTAACCAGAGTTCTTCATTGTTCAATATGTGACAAGCGTAGGTTAAGAAATCCTAAACCGTTAAAATAAAAAATAGAACTGAATCTCATTTGCTTCGTGCTTCTATTTATGCTTGTCAATTTATATGCATTTTCTAAGCCTTTCAGCTGATTTTCAGGGATTACCAGGCCATGGTTCTGCAGGATATGCTCCAGGTTGTCCTCCACCCAGTCAACCATTTCAACCTCCCAGTCAACCATTTCAACCGCCAGGCACTCATCCCCCTCCCTATTCAGCACACAATCCTTTTCCAACCCAACCTTATCCAATGGTAAGATTATAATTGTTTAAATATCTACTATAACTTCGATATTGTATCAATAGCATTATCTCTCCTTTTAGTAAATGCTCTTTTATATTTCACTGCCATTCAAAGAAAGCAGGGTACTATTAAAATGAGTCTGTTGCTCTATGTGTCAACTTTTTTGAGACTCGACAACTCTAGGCTTGTTGTTACAGAATCTATATATTTGATGAATTATATTTGTCACAGTGTTATTGGCTCTGCCCCAGTCTGTCCATTAGTCAATCTGAGGCCTTGTAATCTCTCTATACAGAATAGAGTTCTTTTAAAAAAAGATTTTATACTTGCTTGGCCTAATCAACTTCATAGACATTTACCCTATCTAACTTCATTTGCACATTATGAGAGAGGTTATATAGGCTATGCTTCTTCCTCAATCCCTTTCAATTTTTATAACCCCACATTTTCATGTGGATGTATATTGTCGTCGCCCCTGTCTGTCCACAATTTGTTAGTGGACACTCTACAGGGCACAATTTTTATCCGATTCTGACGAAACTTGAAATATAGGTTTATCTCCAAAAGATCTTGGTTCATTTCGATATTGGTATGTAACTTCATGGATTATGGCTCCTGATTGTACAAAAAGTCACGTTTTTAGCTTGTGGACACTCTATAGGCCACTATTTTTATCCGATTTTGATGAACTTGAAATGTATGGTTATAACCCAAAGATCTTGGTTGTTTTCGATATTCCGTCGGAACAGAAAAATAGGATGTTAAAACCCCATTTCATGTTCCCTGATTGTACAAAAAATGACGTTTTTAGCTTGTGGTCCCTCTTTTTTTATTAAATTTATTAAATTTTTATTAAATTTAAAAAACTGTTCGAATATAATAATGGTGGAAATTGGACTGGAACTGTTGGACAAAGTGACCGATCCCTGTGCGCAAATAGTGTTAAAGTTTGTAATATCAAGGTTGTGTACCCTCTAGATTTTGATGAAATGTGTTTATATCCCAAAGATCTGGGTTCCTTTCAATATTCGCGTATATCGGATCGTAATTTCCTAGATATGACCCCTGCAGGCCTCAAAATGTTTAAAAAAAGCTTTACTTCATACCTGTCGCTTCAGTAAATAACCTGTCACTCTCAATTGTCAATGACCAATCACATCACACATATCCATACATGTAGGTACACACACACACACACACACACACACACACACACACTCTTAAATTGTTAAGGTCTTGACCTACATTGCTACATATAAATATCGTAATATAAAACCTTTTTATTTCTTCGTCATCGGAATGCCTAAAGTTCTTGAAAGTCGGCAAATCTGCTTTGGCTCAGCGACTCGACAATTCTATCATCTGTATCCACATGAATTCCGCCAAGTATCATGGTATCAAACTTGCGTACTACATCAAATACTTCGCTGTTGAGGTGTAGAATTCAGATTTTAAAATATCCATAATAAATTGAATACCAAAATACGAATCACACCTGTGCATGCATCGTATTTACATGTACCGTGTGCGGAGGACATGTAATGCCCCCTGGAGTTCCGTTCTCACATATCCTGTCTATATTAACGCTACAAATTATATACTAAGCGCCATGGAAAACGCATCACTTAGTTTTTCGTATAACAAAATGATCCTGTAAACATATCTTATTTATTCTGCTTCTTATTGTGAACAATATTCAAATGGGAACACATCAATAACAACACATTTGTACATTTATGGATGTTTAATCTTTAATCAACGGTACAAAGTCAGAGGGGTCAAAACCAAAAGTACGACACAGATGTCAGTAGTGCGTGTGCCCTCCACGTGCAGCGACGTCGCATGGAACTTACCAATGTTTGAAAGAAGGCCTGGGGCAAATTGTTCCATTCTTGGACAAGAGCAGCTTCTAAAGCAGCAATGGTGTGCATCTGTGGTCTCCGATACAGACGACGTCCAATCTCATCCCAGACTAGATACGAGAACGTAGCTAAAAACGTTGAGATATACTGATGTGTTTGTTTTTAGCTACGATTGGATGCCTTTAGTTCCAAGTGGCAAACTCAATTTCTTTATTAATGCATGTAACATCTTTAAAATAAGATAAGTTTATGCTATTATGATTAATTAAACTTACAGGGGCCAATGTAGTGGCACAACTGTCGCCTAACTCCAAATATTCGCGTTTAAATTAATGAAGCGTTGTTTTTGTCTGACATTTCACCGCCATCGAAATCCATTCCTAGTTACTGTGCTTTAGATTGCCCTTTTGATTGGCTCTTATAAAAGCCTTATATTTAGCCCCGCCTTCATGATGACAGCGTACCGTTTAAAAAGATGGCGGACTTAGTAACGGCTTAACGCCTCGATTTTAAAAACGACGATTTGTACCCGTTTCAGGTAGGATTATATGCTTAATTGTAGTTGGGCGTGGTAGACATATTATAAATAACAATAATCAATCGTTGTTTTGATTAAAACTACATGTATTGTCAATTTTGTTTAAAAATGCCGGGTGTGAATCGCTCCCACAGATGCAACGTTATAGGTCATGGCCTCATGCCTTATCTCGAAACACGGAGGGTTGAGAGATTAAGGTTTGTTATCTAATCCCAGACATGTTCTACCGGAGACATGGCTGGCCAGTCCAAGACACTGATGTTGTTAGCAGCCAGGTAGACCATACTAAAATGGGCGTTATGCGGACGTGCATTATCCTGTTGGAAGTGCTGAAGTTGTGGGTGCGCTCGAAACATCGGAACAACAGTTGGTTGCAAGACATCATCACGGTAGGCTACAGCATTAACGCGACCCCAGCAAATGTGAAGCCTCCCCACACCATTACACTTCCCCCACCCCATTGATTCGTTTCGAAGACGCAGCAGTCTGCAAGACGTTCCCCAAAACGTCTCCACACACGTTGACGGCCATCAGCGTGATAAAGATGAAAGCGACTCTCATCACTGAAGAGCACACTTTGCCAGTCTACCAAAAGTACGACACAGATGTCAGTAGCGCGTGTGTCCTCCACGGGCTCTTACGCATGGAATTAACCATAACCAATGTTTGAAAGAAGGCCTGGGGCAAATTGTTCCATTCTTGGACAAGAGGAGCTTCTAAAGCAGCAATGGTGTGCATCTGTGGTCTCCGATACAGACGGCGTCCAATCTCATCCCAGACATGTTCTATCGGTGCCATGTCCGGAGACATGGCTGGCCAGTCCAAGACATTGATGTTGTTAGCAGCCAGGTAGTCCATAATAAAACGGGCGGTATGCGGACGTGCATTATCCTGTTGGAAGTGCTGAAGTTGTGGGTGCGCTCGAAACATCGAAACAACAATTGGTTGCAAGACATCATCACGGTAGGCTACAGCATTAACGCGACCCCTGCAAATGTGTAGGGCGGTCCGGTGATGAAATGTGAAGCCTCCCCACACCATTACACTTCCCCCACCCCATCGATTTGTTTTGAAGACGCAGCAGTCTGCAAGACGTTCCCCAAGACGTCTCCACACACGTTGACTGCCATCAGCGTGATAAAGATGAAAGCGGCTCTCATCACTGAAGAGCACACTTTGCCAGTCTACTCTTCTCCATGTCTGGTGTCCTTGAGCCCATATCAAACGTCGCTGACGGTGATGATCCCTGAGGATAGCTCCAACATAAGGTCGTCGTGCACGGAGTCCTACTTCTCTTAGACGGCGTCTTACGGTGTTGGCACTTACTGGTCCTTGTCTTCCGACGACTGCTGCACCGGTTCGAATCGTTGGGCGGAATCTGTCACGCAGATGAGTGACCCGGATGTAGCGGTCTTGAGCCTGGGTTGTAACGCGTTGTGGACCAGGAAGTTGACGGTCACGTGTTGATCTAGTAACTCGAACATGTTCCACCAACCTTACAATAGTGGACTGATGACAATTGAAGTGTCTGGCAATAGCACGTGTAGACATGCCAGCCCGGGACATTCCCATGGCTTCATTCTGTTGATTTTCAGTAAGTCTCAGCTCGATTCCTTCACACATCCAACAACAAATTACGACAGATTGACTTTTCACAGTTCATGTACTGCACATTAAGTTGAAAACATGCTTTTAAAGGGCTCACACACAATGCTGCACGTGAATATTGGGTTTTTCATGTGCATCTCATGCAATTTTTTTTTGTGCACACGGGCCGATATTTTTTGCGTTTGGGAGCATTGTGTGAAACAATAGTTTATAGTATTGTATAATATTATACATACAAAACCACCTAGTAATAAAATATTTGGGAAAAAAAGTGAGGCGTTTTCCATGGCTCAGTATATTTTTTTATGGAAATTGTTTTAAACTTTTTAAATGATTAAATACACCAGGCAACAAGCAGTGTGCATTTCCATTCCAGCCACCACTATATTTACTGTGGTGTCGTTACGGTAGAATTATTTCACTTGGGGGAGCATTTTAATTTATTTAGATATAATACTTCATAATGCTACAAACTAGTGTCAAGCAGATGAAAACAAACATAGATGGTGTGAAATTCATTGTGAGAAAATTGTCTACTTCCAAACTGTGTGAGTAACTGTAGCCTACGACAGAGCGAAATGTAAACATTGTAAATGGTGGCTTTTTCGCAGTCTTTCCTTGCTTAAATCTTGCATTTAGAAACGAATAATTAAATGTACCTGACGTGGACTTCAGTATTATGGTCTTGAGTCAATTTATTGAACATCAGTACCCGTCGCAAGGTAGTTTTACTTGCTACCTGTCAGACGAACATTTCGAGCCATGCCCCTGATTGTACAAAAAAATCACGATTTTAGCTTGTGGATCCTCGAGAGGTCACAATTTTTATATGCCCACGTATGATTTTTACAAAACTTGAAATATAGGTATATCTCCCAAAGATCTTGGTTCCTTTCGATATTGGCATCTATCGGACCATATAACTTCATGGATTATGGCCCCTGAAGTCACGTTTTTAGCTTGTGGACACTCTAGAGGTCATAATTTTCATCTGATTTTGATGAAACTTGAAATGCATGTTTATAACCCTAAGATCTTTATTCCTTTCAATATTCGCACATATCGGGTGGTAACTTCCTGAATTATGGCCCCTGGTTGTGCCCCTGGTTGAGGCCACAATTATTATCCGATTTAAAAATCTGTTCGAATATATCACCTTAATGATGATTGAGTTCAAATTTCGTGAACATCGGCCCAAAACTGCCGGACAAATTGGCCGCCCCTCGTAGGCAAGTAGTGTAAAAATATGGTATATCACGGTTGTGGACCCCCTAGAGGTCACAATTTTGAATTTGATGAAACTTGAAATACATGTTTTTTACCCAAAGACCTTGGTAATTGGTTCCTTTCGATATTCGCACATATGGCTCCTGATTGAACGTAAAATCATGTTGTTAGCTTGTGGTTCCTCTAGAGGTCACAATTATAATCCGATTTACAAAACCATTCAAATATATCACCGTTACATTGTAATGGTAATTGAGTTTGAATTTCGTGAAAATCAGGCCAAAACTTCCGGATAAAATGACTGCCTCTTGTACGCAAATAGTGTAAAAATATGGTATATCATGGTTGTGGACCCTCTAAAATCGTGTTTCAGTTTGTGGTCCCTCTAGAGGTCACAATTTGTATCCTATTTAAAAAAACGTTTGAATATATCACTGTTACACCCTAATAATGGTTGAGTTTGAATTCGTGAAAATCAGACCAAAACTGACAGATAAAATGGCCGGCCCTTATATGCAAATAGTGTAAATATATGGTATATCAAGGTTGTGGACCATCTAAGAGGTTACAGTTTTGACCTGATTTTGATGAAACATTAAATTTGTGTTTATATCACAAAGATCTTGGTTATTTTGATATTTGTGCATATCAGGCGATAAGTTCCTGGATTATGGCCCCTTTTAGCTTGTGGAATGTCTATAGCCCACAATATTTATCCAGTTTTAAAAACTTTTTAGCAATATCACTGTTACATCTAATGATGGCTGAGTTCGAATATCGGGAAAATCGAAACAAAACTGGCCGACAAAATGGCTGCTCTTTGTACTTGTAAAAGTATGTAATACTAAGGTTGTGGATGATGAAACTTAAAATATATGTTAATATCCCAAAGATCTCAGTTCCTTTTGGTAGGCATGCGTTTCAGACCATAACTTCCTGAATTATGGCCCCTGATTGTACGAAAAATCGCAGGTTTTTTTTTTTTAATTTGTTGCATAGCAACTGCTGGTTGATTAAAATATTATTTTAAAATAGAAAATTACAACTTAATTATTAGTTAGTTTTCATGTTTTTATGACACATCTAGTTATTGTTCTTTTAAAGGGAATGGCACCACCACCAGCACAACCTGGATATCCTGGAGGAGCATCACAACCGATGTATAATCCTGTAAGTATTATTAATTCAAGAAATTCGCTAAGCAAAACTATGATCGTTGGTTTACTGTATATTTCATATAAAACGGAAAAAGGGTGACCAAAGATTTTTTCTCTTTTGATTTGATACTTTGCATGTATTGATTTTATACGCCCTCATGGAAATGTGGTCGTAGATTGTCGTCGCCCCGGTCCGTACGTCCACCTGTCCGTTGTCCACAATTTCTTGTGAACACTCTACAGACTACATTTATCATCTGATTGTTTTGAAATTGATATATGTTGTTTACATTAGTGGGATAAAGAATCCTTTTTAATTTCAATAATTTCCTTTAATTTCATTCGACCTGTATGAAATTTATGTGCATTAATGCAACGAAGAAGCCTGTTGAACTTCAGTAATTTCTGTTAATTATTTCTAGAGTTATGGCCCTTGTTTCACTTTGTTGGACCTTGTGCATGCTCGAATGACAAAAATTATCATCCAATATGTATGAAATTTATATGCATTATTAACATTAGTGAAAAAAAGAAGCCGATTGAATTTCACCAATGTTGTTAATTATTTCTAGTGTGTGCTATGAGGGAATTTGTACATGGGCAGTGGCTCTATGGCCTACTCTTATTTCAAATTCCAACTATCAAGGCATCACTCAGTTTTTCGTACCATCTGAACGACTAGACAGCTGTCCTTATCAGACCCTCCGTCCTGCACCACTGACAACGGGAAACCACGATCTGTATGAAGTTTTATGTATTATTTAGATTAGTGAAATAAAGAAGCCTATTGAAATTTCCGTCAATTACTTCTAGCGTTATGGCCCTTGTATTACTTTGTTGAACCTTGTGATTATTCAAACAACAAAAGCTATTATCCTATCTGTATGAAATTTACATGTATTATTTAAATTAGTTAAAGATACATTATGTAAGATTTGGATAAATAGCTCGCCATTCTTGCTATAATAGTTCGAAAATAGATTATGTAAAATGAATAATTTGAAAATTTCATTCAAATTACTCTAATGCGAGCGAAGATATTAGCCTTTGAAGGTTTGACAAGACGTGTAATAATTTCAACCACCGTACTGGTTGTTCGTAGCTAAGTCTCGCTCCTCCATTTTTAAATTAAATCAAAATATGGCTGAACCTTGCTAATCTATTTACTATCGGAGAAATCTGATGCTGTCGAGAGTTGATTATGGCCTGGATCAGTTAATTAATGTCTAATTAATAATTTAGATAACATTTCAGGCCTAAAGAAAGACCTGCAATAGGCAGATTTAGCTCTTGCATAATGTATGTTTAAACGAAAAAGCCTGTCAACTTTAAAACAATTTCTGTAAATTTTAATTACTTCCAGAGTTAAGGCCCTTGTTTCAGATTGTAGAACCTTGTGAACCCTTAAATGACGAAAATTATAATTTGGGCCTGGTTCCTAGAAAATTCTTAAAAGTAAGCACAAAGTCATGCTTCACTTTTGCTTACGTAAGAAACTCTATAAAACGTCTCTAGCTAAGCACATTGTGACTGGTAAACTGAGACTACGTAACGTCATAAAAACAATTTTGGTATGCGAATTATGTCATAAATTGGTTGGCTGCATAGAGTTATAAATAGATCAATGACATACATTCCCGGCAAATAGTCGATTTAGATGCATTTGACATGTCCTCCATAACATATAAAATGTGCCACAAGCTAAAAACAACGCAAGCACATGAAAACAGACGGAATAATTGTGAGAGCGCCTGATCTTAAAGTAGCCTGTGTTTGTGTTGTTTACTAATTTGTTAATAAATAAAATGGTTTCAAGGTAGGCCTACTAGAAGCGAAATTTTCTATAGCATTCATCTTGAGAATATTTTTCTGAAGGATTTTCTCTGTCTTCAATTGTCTCTTTGGTATCAAAAAATGTAGGAAATGCCGTTGAATAACTCTTCGTTCAGCCATCTTGTTTGAAGCAAAAACAGACTTAAGGTTGGTAAGCAAGCCATATACCATGCTTGGGACTTGTGCTTAGATTGACAATGTGCTTAAAATTCAAGCACAAGAACAATCTTAAGAATTTTCTGGGAACACAAAATAAGATAAGTTTACTTAAATGCAAAGTCTACTTAAAATCTAAGCACAAGAACGTGCTCAAGAATTTTCTAGGAATCGGGCTGTGTCACATTGTCTTGAAAATGTCCCCAATTACCCACAAAAGAATAAATATGTGACAACCCTTGTCGACCGCTCGGATAATTTACCTGCTGTGGGCGTATGTTTCATTGCCTGGCAACCCATCTATACATAATGTCTTATTGGTCACATAATGAAAAGTGTGCATTGGAAATGAGTTATTAGGAGCCACTGTGGCTTGGTGAGTGTGGCACTAGCTCAGTAACCAGGATGTCCTGGATTCTATTTCCAATTATTTAAAAATAATAGCGCAAGTCATGACAGATTATTATATAAGGTGCAAGAATAATATAAATTTTATTTGTTAAAAGTCTTCAGGAAATGTAAGATTTCACACTTCTGGTAGTGGGAGTAGTTTCCAAGAAAAAAGTTCTATATCTTCAAGTTGTGATTCTCATACACACGGTGTGGCTCTAGGTGCTGTACATGTAACCACAGCCATAGGAAAAGCTGTATTTAAAGATATTAAATCATTATTTGGTGTCCGTGAAAAAGATAATTTTGAAAGCTCCCTTGGTCCACAGGTTTCTAGTTTCTTTTTTTCTTTTATTTACTGCCTCACAACATAATCATTTCCTTACATTTTGTCCCCCGCCTTTCGAAGAAAGCAGGGGACTATTAAAATGGGTTCGTCCGTCCATCCGTCTGTCTGTCCGTCACACTTTTTGGGACACAATAACTCTCCTTCTAATTGAGCTAGAATGTTCAAACTTGGTTTAGGTGTTTATTAGGTCAATACCTTGATGGACTTCGAAGAAGAGCATTTTCTGCTTAGGGTAAGCAGAGATAAGCAATTTAATTGGTTGATGCTTTGGGACATGATAACTTTCGTTCTAATTAAGTGAGAGTGATGAAACTTGATGTATGGTTTCATTACATCAATACCTTGACTAAGTTCGATAATGATCATTTTCTGCTCAGGGTAAGCAGAGCGATAAGCAATTTGATTGGCCAAGATTTTGGAACACAATAACTTTCATTCTAATTGAGCTAGAATGTTCAAACTTGGTGTAAGTGTTTATTAGGTCAATGCCTTGATGGAGTTTGAAGATGAGAATTTTCTACTTAGTGTAAGCAGAGATAAGCAATTTGATTGGTTGATGCTTTGGGACACGATAACTTTACTTCTAATTAAGTGAGAGTGAGGACACCTGGTGTATAGTTTTATCACATCAATACCTTGACTAAGTTCGATAATGAGCGTTTTCTGCTCAGGGTAAAATGAGCGATAAGCAATTTGATTGGTTGAGACTTTGGATCACAATACCTCTCCTTCTAATTGAGGTAGAATGTTCAAACTTGGTGTAGACATTCATTAGGTGAATGCCTTGATGGAGTCCGATGATAAACATTGTCTGGTTACGGTAAGCAGAGATAAGCAATCTGATTGGTTTATGCTTTGGGGCACGATAACTTTGATTTTGATTAAAGCTACAATTTCATATTTTTAAGTTATATTTTTAAAATGTATTAAAATAAAGCCTTAAAATAGATGGTATCTATATACAGTCCTACCTTGTTAAAGAATAATCCTATAATTCACTATTGTCAGTTGAGAAATTGGCAAAAATATCATTTTCAACTTCAAATTCAAACGTTTGAAGATAGCTATTCCATGGGGGGGAATAGAAAACAAGGGAGGTAATTGTGTTATTATTTCCGACGTCAATGATTTTTAAGTGTGGGAAATAATGCGTATGATCGTATAATAGTGAGTTGACAACCAACTGAGCAAAAGACATAGAAATAATTATGTTTTGACTTTCTTAGAAAATATGAAATTCTCGCTTTAAGTGAGAGTGATAAAACTCTGAGTATAGATTCATTATATCTTTACCTTGACTAAGTTCGATGATGAGAATTTTCTGCTTAGGCTAAGGGGCGATAAGCAATTTGATTGGTCAAGACTGTGGAACACAACAACTCTGCTTTTAATTGAGCTAGAATGTTTAAACTTGATGAAGATGTTCATTAGGTGAATGTCTTGACAGTTCAATGATTAACATTTCGAGCTAAAGCTAAGCAGAGGTAAGCAATTTCATTGGCCGGTGCTTTGGGTCAAGATAACTTTGATTCTGTGCAATTAATTAATATGTGTCATTAATAAGATAACTTTGATTCTATCTGATAGAGAGTGATGAAACTTAGTGTATATTTGATAATCAGTTTGATTGCTTCATACTTTTGAAAAAAATAAATGTGCGATTAATTAATTTGTGTCATCTATTTTTTGGGGGATTTCGCCGGGGGACATCAGCCTCACTGTTGGCTTGTTAAAAACAATTTGATACAGCACAAAAATACAACTGCAAAATGTAATCAACTGTCCCAGTAACCTGCAAAATTTTTCAACCCTCAAGCCACACTTTTACACATTTTGTTCTTACTTTCTTTAACTACAGATAATCATCTTTATATGCCCACATTTTCATGTGGATGTATATTGTTGTTGCCGCCGTCCAAAATTTGTTTATGGCCACTCTACAGGTCACAATTCTGATCCGATTTTGACAAAACTTAAAATATAGGTTTATCTCCAAAAGATCTTGGTTCCTTTCGATATTGGCATGTATTGAATCAAAACTTCATGGATTAAGGCTCCTGTTTGTTTGAAAAATCACTCTACAGGTTACAATTTTTATCCAATTTAGATGAAACTTGAAATGTATGTTTATAACCCAAAGATCTTGTTTCTTTTCAATATTTGCACATATCGGGCCACAATTTCCTGGATTATAGCCCCTGATTGTACGAAAAATCGTGTTTTTAGTGTGTGGTCTCCCTAGAGGTAACAATTTTTATCCAATTTAAAAAAAATGTTCAAACACA